ACTTGTATTTACCCGATGCTCAGTTCTCAAAATTTATAGGTTTTTAATGTTATATGAGATTTAAAAATTATCGTTTAGGGAAAAATATTTTCACATAAGCTCATTTAAATCCATTCACAAATAAATTGGTTGAACAACATAATCATTCGTTTACAAATCAATTTGGGGCATCGGGAGTCTTTATTTATCAAGTGAAAAATTAAAATGATTCAAAATGATTTTCATTTACCATGTGCTCAATTCTCATGATTCTTTGGTTTTTAAACACTATAGTTTTTAAAATAATTTCATAAGAATGAAACCTTTTCATTTAGGAAGAAGTGTTTTCATTTAAGTTGATTTTAAAATTATTCTGTGTTTTTTGGGTTGCCAGAAATATTGGTTGATTGTTTCGATTATTAAAAATAATTATTTTTTTAAAAAAATAATATGTACAACTAAAAACGTGGGACATAGAGAGTTTTTATTTTTTTTCTAGAAGAATGAGTTTACTAATCAAATTGAGGCGTATGGAGCTTTTATTTAGGCAGAAGTGTTTCATAAAGAATAAAACGATTTCACTAAGCGAAAAGTGTTGTCATTTAAATTTGTTTTAATTAGTCTTTTTTGGGTTACCACAAATATAGATTGTTTTTATCCATTTCTCGTAGAAGAGAAATTTTTTAAATAAAAATTATATGTACGAGTCAAGAATTGAGACATAGGGAGTGAAAATTTGTCCATAGAAGAATCATCTAAAAAATTAAAATGGAACGTGGGAAGTTTTAATTTGTTATATGAAAAATGAAAATCCTTCAAAATGACTTGTATAAAATAATTTCTATGGTTTTACACACTTTGAATAAATAATGATTTTTACCAAAACATGTTTCCTTATGTTAGTATAACATTTTTTAATTGTAGGGATGACGACAACAAAAATAATTAGTCATATTAAGAAAAGAAGGTTGAATGGACATGCAAAGTGAAAGCTCTTGAAAAGCACGGCATTAGATACACAAGGTTCAATCTGAATAAATATAGGCTTTCTAGCTCCAGTCTTCATCCGTCATCAACTCCTCCGGGTCCGGACCTCCTTTCTAGCTCCGGTTTCCAATAATATTTTAGTATTTTTGTAGAGTTTTATTCCGTTGTCCCGAAGAGGCCCTGTGTCTGCTCCGGTTATAATTTTTTATATTTATAAGTTTTAATAAAATGTTTTTTATTTTATGTTTTGTTCATATTTAGTACGAGGTAGGGCCCATATTATGCTCCGGGTTAATTTTGGGCATATATTCTATATGTTTGTTTAATAGTTCGAATAATTTTTCTAGAATTATTTTTATTGTTACATTAATTAATTATGTCGAGAGGAAAACTAATTAATTATTAGAAATTAGTTTTTGCCTTGTCTGTGAGAATATAAAATTAATTAAGCAAACTTTTTAGAACACATTAATGGTACCTTGAGAGAGGATAAGTTAATGAAATATTTGTGATAGAAATATTATTATTCAAATTATTGATTAAATATGTGACAACAGTAGTTATCAAGATGATGTTTTGGCCCGAAGTCTAGTTTCCTCAAAAAAACGATCACTAGTCTAGTATTTTTATTTTTAAAATCGAACCGAGAAGACTTTCGAACCCATCATAACCTTCGCCTAGTCAGAAAAATTAACTAATTCCGTTTGACCACTCCTCGAGGCTCGAGAGACACAACAATCAGTGAAAACTGATCCTTCATAGAGAAGGTTGATTTCCGCTTAAAAACTCAACTATCATTAGGATCAAACAACACTCACACTAATTTTAGAAGAAAAACAAAACAATTTGGGTAACACATGACTAAAATTGTCAAAAATAAAAACTAAAAGTGTTTTTTTCAAAAGATTTTCTTAGAGGATCAAAATTACGGAGTATAATCTAGTCAGATTTGTAAATTACCCTCCTTGCATCATGACTAGAAATTTTGATTTAGATGATATTTTTGGCAGGTCATTTTTCCCTTTTTCCAACCAATATGGTCTCTATAACTTAGGGGGTCCTTAATCAACTTCTATTTGTGGTTTCTATGTTAAAAGGCCTAGCAAAAAGACATCTATTTGATTTAATCACATGGAAACAGACTCCTTAGCTGCTACATTATTTATGTTCACAGGCTCACAGCAATGATGTTGAATTGTAGGATGAAGTTGATGAATGGGATGAATCCAATACTAACATAAATATCAGCATTATTAGCATCCTCAATCCATTCATTACTCCAAATTACTGGTAAAACTTTATGGTCAATTAAAGCAGGGAAGGTTTCAATGCCCTCAATGGGGAATTTTTTTTTCCTTTCAAGGATGCAAATTGATAGAAACACAGACTGAACAACTACTACCTGACTTAAGCAAGGCTGAAGGAACTAGCAGTGCTCTCGACGAACTTCCTTGCTCCTTTGAACCATCTCTTGTCGCCAGCTTGTGCCTTGCAGATGTAAAGCTTCCCGTCCGAAACAGTGGCGGTGATCAGCTGGTGTTTCCCCCCTTCGTCCCCATCCGCCGTTCGTGTCAACACAGAGATAGAGTAGTATTGCTTCCCTTCCACCACCGGAGTTGATGTCTCCAAAATGTTTGCAGTCGCCACCGCATTAGAATCAAACCCTCCCTGCACCCACAACACGGTACGTGCAGAAGGACACCAAGTCTTACATTACCAATAATTGAATCACGAAAATTGCATTAGCGAGTTACCTCTGACTCGGTTTTGCCGGAGAATGCTTGTTTTCCGAGCAAATAGTCCACCTAGGGGAAACCAAACATAAAGAAAAAAATGATCACATCACATTTTGTTAGAATAAAAAAACTTTTCCAGGGCTACAAGCCTACAACCACAAGCTTGAACTTTTGGTTGAATTGGTCACTTGACATGGTATCGGAGCCTTGTTGAGATCACGGGTTCAAAACTCAGCGCCGCACAAGTTTTAAAAATTTTGAGGTTTTATGTGCAAGACTAAAAAAAATACCAGAGGACATGTTAGAATATAAAAAAAATTCCTGTGCCACAACTACAAGTTTGAGCTATTGGTTGAGTTGGTTCCTTGACAACATCACACGAGCTGCTTAATACTAATCTTAATCTACTACTGCATTGACCAGAGATGGATTTGATTTAATTTACTTGTGAAAGGAATTCTTCAGGTGATCCATAGTCTGCGATGGAATTCTTATCGGTCGGAGTGATCAAGACGCATACATTGCTGTTTGCATCGAAGTTGTCTTCGTATCTAAGAACCTGACCGGGATACTCAATTTCCTTGCTTGGATTCCACTTGGATGGAACCTGAAGCTTGAATCCATCTCCAGAGACCGGCAAGAACTCCGTGTTTGTTTTTGGCTTTCCAAAAACATTGGCTGCAATCCAAGCAAAAAGTAGCATTCAGATTTTCCGTTACCCAACAATTAGGTCTAAATTCATGAGATTAATTCAGATCGGTCAGATGTAAAACTATGATCCAATTACTTGGCAATGTCCAGATAGTCAATCATATTCGACTAGGAGATTTAAAGGAAAAATTGAAGCATGTACCGGCTTCTCCGTAGGCGGCGTCAGCGGGGGAAGCTTTGGAGGCAACGGCGGCAGAGGCGATGAGGGCGGTGAGAGCCAATCTGCGAGAGACGGCGAGTGCGCCGCCGTCGATTTCGGTGGCCGCGGCGGACTGCATCTGGGCGCGGCAGATGGGCCTGGGGAGCGGGCAGCAGGGGCGCGGGGATGACGTGGACGGCGTCCTGGCAGGGGTTGAGAGGGCATGGTGGCGCAAGTAGAAGCACTGTGTGGAAGCCATGATCGCCGGGAGCTTGCTCTGGTTAGAGCTCTTCGAGCACTATCAACAAGGTGAGAAATGTCCACACATTTGTGTGTGATGGGAATATGGGATGAATTGTTGTGGATATTTGGATAAGCGGGTTGAGGATATGATTGGTGCCAGGTGGAATTTCATGCTTATTGCGTGGTACTGCAAATCTGCAATCCCCGCCTTTGACCACCTAGTTGACATGGCTTCAACTAATTGACACCTAGATTGGTGTCAACTAGGTGCTTCTTATTTTCACACAAAAACTTGGTTTTTGTGTGTCTGTGAAAAGAGTGGTGTATATTTAAAATACACTATTTGGGACACTTTAAGGTTTTTCTTTAGTTTGATTCTGTTTACAACGTAACCATGCTTGGGTACATCAAAAAATGTACCCTAATTTATACTCTAAAGTCTAAATGATGTATCATCATTTTAACAATCATTTTAACGATCCACACTAACAAAAAATCTTAGTTGAATCAAAAAAATTATAATGATATTTTGTGTCATTGGAAAACATCACACTAGCACAAAATGTTACTTTAAATCTAATTTTGCTTTATATCATTTCCCCTGTGTTTATCAAGGATGAACCCTATTCTAACTTTCCTTTCTTTGGCTCTTTGTGGACACTTATTTCCTGCTCATGCCATCATATTATCTCACTTTTGGATTCAAACCTCACACTTGAAGTTATGATGTAGTTGGGTTCACTATTTTGATAATTTGGTCTGACATTACTATTTTAGTAACATGAATTGTCCTTTTGAAGTCTTAAGATTCAGATATCATTATTACAAAAAAGACTTGAATTGATTTATTACTTTTTGCATTAGTTGTTTACCGAAACAAAAGCGTGCGATGCAATTACTGACCGTTGCAAAAGACTATTTATACGTCCTGGAAAGATCTTTTGCATCGGTTATTCCTTAATAATCGATGCAAAATAGTCCTTCCGGAATTAAGCGCTAAAATGGGGAAGTCCTTTGCATCGGTTATTCCTGAATAACCGGTGCAATTTGAAAAATGTTTTCCTCATATCAATTTAGAAGAATTTGAATCGTAAAAATAGTGACATGGAAAAACTAAAAAATGAAATACTCCGTAATTTATAAATTATAATTATGAACATAAACCTAACTTTTATTTTAGAAATTTATCTTCAAAATCCAATGTCACTATCTTTAGAAATTTATCTTCAAAATGTTAAATTTTAAGTAAATTCCTCCTAAAAATAACTAAACATTCAACTAGGACAAATTACAAATGACATACTCACATAGTCACATACATGGGAAATTAAAGACACAGACCAATATAATGAATGGGCATCTTCCATTAGAGTGGCGGCGGGGTGACATTAAAAAAGGTCAAGACATGCACCCATTGCTCCACCTTCTTGAGGCGGTGGACGGCGATGGTGTCCGGGATCAGCTGGTGGGAACACTTCCCGTTACTCCCCGGGTAGTCGTACATCGCCGGCTTGTTGTTCACCCGGTTCTTCCCCCTCTTCCCCGCGTCCAGCCACTGCCCCACCAGCTTATCCTCCGGCCCCCGGGTGTTGTTCGCCGGGATCCCCGACCGCCCGATCCACTCCACCAGATCCCACGACAGCACGTACCCCATCCCCGACATGTACCCCACGAAAGGGTTCATGCTGGGGCAGGGGATGACGAAACCGTAGTACAGATCGTCCCTCGGTGCCCTCTCTAAGGACGCCGCCAGCCGCTCCAGCCGCAGGTACGTGTCGTCGTCTGCCTTCATGACGTAGTCGTAGCGCGGGAGGATCCCCGGAAGGGACGAGAAGTAGGTGTGCGTCTTGCCGGTGTTCATGTTCTCAGTGCAGTTGAGGAGGACGATGTCGCGAAAGCGGAGGATCTCGAGGGCCACGATCGCTCCGATCTTGCGACGGTCGTGGTCGGAGAGGTTGCACATGATGAACTTGAGGTCGATGCGGACAGTGGTTAAGGCCGGTCCTGAAATAAGGATAGGAGTAAATATTTAGCAAAAGCTTTTTGATACTACATATATGAGCAAAATAAGTACGGGTATTTCTTTACTACTCCCTCCGTCTCTAAATAAACTTTCATTTTTGACTTTTTGAAGATTTAAGGGAGAGATATTTTTGTGTTGATTTTCCAAAAATACCCTTGATGTGATGTGTAAAAGTAATGTGTGATAGGTAGATTATTAGTAAAAAGGTATGATGTGATAGATATGGTATGAAAAAGTAAGGGGTAAAAGGGATGTTTTAAGGGAAAAGAGAAATTTATTTGGGGACAAAGAAAAAATGAAGGGGAAAGTTTATTTAGGGACGGAAGGAATATTAAATAAGCATTTATTTTTTTAAATAAAAAAATGTTTTTTATGTCGAAGGTCTACAAAAATGATATGCACCAAAGAAGCACTTTGTTTAATAATATATCTTAGCTTGTTCAATACTCCGTAATATTACTCTCCATTTCTTACTTTTGGCAAAAATACGTACCTATACTCCCTATTTTATAGTTAACCTTTCAATACTTTTGTCTTTACCTCGGTTCCATAAAACTATTACTATTTTGATTTTTAAAAGAAATAAAGAATTTATATTTTTAGTTGATTTTCTAAATTTTCTCCTGATGTGATGGATAGATTATTAGTCATTTTATAAGATAGGTACAGTAAAAAAAATATGGGTAAAAGTGATTTTTTAATAAAAAATGGAAGTGTTTTGGGGAAAACAAAAAATGAAAGAGAAAGTGTTTTAAGAAACGGATGGAGTAATAAACACTCTCTCCGTCGTCCATAAGTGAATTACATTTTATGCAAAAAAAGTACAATTTAATATTTTAAATTCAGAAGGTGACAAAAACACTAGTATTTTATTTTATTTGATAATCAATGAAAACACACAAATGAACAAAAGTTCTCTTTATTTTTTAAATAGCTAGTGAAGAGTGTTAGTTATCGTAGGACGGAGGGAGTACATAGAGACATAGAGTATGATATGTTGTGCATGTAACGGTTAGTGTTAGAATATAAAAACATTTCCTGTCCACAACCACAAGCTTGAGTTTTTGATTGAGTTGATTCCTTGACATGGTATTAGAGTCTTGTTGACTAAGAGGCCAGGTCACGGATTCGAATCTCCTATATACCATTTATAAAATGTACTCCCTCCGTTTGGAAAAAGTGTTCCTATTTTGACTTTGTGTAAAAATAAGGAAGTATTAAATTGTAGTTGACTTCCAATTTTGCCCTTGATGTGATAGGTAAAAGTAAGATGTGATGGATAGATTATTAGAGATAAAGTATGATGTGATAGGTAGGGTATGAAAAAGTAAGGGTAAAAGTGGTTTTTTAATAGAAAGTGGAAGTGTTTTGTTGGAAGTGAAAAAAATGAAAGAGGAAGTGTTTTAAAAAACAGAGGGACTATAAAGTATTTCCTACTTCCTCAATCCCGGAATACTTTCCTATTGAAATTAGAATGAATTTAAGTTGTTTGAAAAAACTTAAAAATAAAATTTATAGATTCAAAAAATAAATCAAGTTTGATCCATTAAATTGATATGATTACTGTAACAATTCAATTCTAGCAATCAAGTTTGATCCATTAAATTGATTACTGTAACAATTCAATTCTAGCTAGTATGCAGATAACTATTGTTTATTATTAAATGTTTTGATTGATTATTTGATTAAAAAATTATTGAGTTGATTCTTTGACATGTTATCTGAGCTAGTTGAATAAGAGGTCACATGTTTGAAGCTCAGTATCACTCAATTTTTTTTTTAAAAAAAATTAAATTTCGCGTGCAAGATTTGAAAGGACTACACTTACACGGGAGAAAACGTGTTAAAATATAAAAAGTTTTTTCTTAGCCACAACTACAGGTTTGACTTTTCACTTGAATTAGGTCCTAGACAAGAAAGAGTATAATAAACGTAGTGATGAAGGGAGTATATATCAAGGAGTAATAGATACATGCCTTGCCCTGTCTCGGGGGCGCCACCGGCAATGGTAAATGTAGTGGGTGATGACTGGATGTCGTTATTGTAGATGAGGCGGAGGAGGTTGCGGCGGTCGTACTTTTCCGGGCGAGTGAAGATGCCGACGAGGAGGGTCATGATGAGTTCTTTGTGGGGGTTTGGCAATGTGAGGTGGTTTTTCTCGTCATTTGGAGTTGTAGTGATTAAGGAGAGATTAGGGTTTGAATGTGGTAATTGGGTGTTAAATTGTATTAATAATACCAAAAGCAGGATGACAATGGACAACAATGAAGCTAGAAGTGATTGCCTCTTTAATGGCAGCATCCTTTTAGATTTTTTTAAATAATTAATAGTAATGTTGCTAGTAAATAATTCATTTCCAACAATAATACGGAGCAATATATCTACTATTAGGGGTAGATAATATATGAAAGTTTTTGAGCTATCTATAAATAATCATGGTAAGTGAATGAAAGAAGCAAAGAGCTGGGATGATAATTGAATGTTTGCTAGGCTATATACTACGTCCCTCCCTGACTATTTGTCCAGTTTTAACTTTTTTTGATCAATCGTTTTCAACATTTGACTTATAATTAAATAAAATATAAATTATATTTTATTTAGATAAAATAATATTTGAAAATATTTGATATAATAAATCTAATAAAATTATTTTTGTATCAATATTGAATATCATTTTTACTTAATTTGAGGTCAAAGTTTTTCAATTGTAATCGAAAAAAGTCAAAAGTGGACAAAAACTCAAGGACGAAGGGAGTACATAATCTTAATTGAGATGTACTCCCTCCGTCCCAAAAAGATTTACACGTTTCAAAAAAATTGCGTCCTACAATCCCTTACTCATTTCTATTAAAAAACCACTTTTATCCCTTACTTTTTCAAACTCCACCTATCACATCATACTTTTTTCCTAATAATCTACACATTACATCATACTTTTACCATCACATCAAGGGTATTTTTGGATAGTCAACACAAAATTATCCCTCCCTTAATTTCTATTTTAGTCAAAACGTACCCATCTTTAAGTGACGGAGGAAGTAGTTATTTTACTAAGTAATTCTTTTTAAAAATAAAATATAGGTGCTTCACACAAGTTTTATATCAATTTTTAAATAAAAAATATACTCTCTCCGTCCTAAAACTTTCTTCCCAGAGCACTATTCCAACTTCACGGAAATTTATATTTATTTGTGTTTTTTCATGGCCTATATGATAAAATAAAATATTCTTGTCACCACTTGTTTTGTTGAACTTTTGATGTAGTTTTTAAATATGTATGTTTTATTTTTTATTTCTATACCAATATTTAAATAAAATAGATTGAAAAAACTTAGAATTTTTCTTCGTTTTGTGCAACGGGAAGAAAGATATAGGACGGAGGGAATAACTCATTTAGCACCTGACACTAAAGATGCTTTTATGTACACTATTTTTTAAAGTAATTATCAACAAATTAACTAAATACACAAAAAATGTGAATTTGGACATGATTACATTTGCATTTATTAGTGTTTTTCTACGTGACTTAATTGTTATTACTCCGAATACTTTTTGGATAGTGAAATTTGCACTGAATAGGACTAAAACATAGGTCATTTCCCAATGTAGGATTTAAACTTTTTTATTCTCTAAATAGGACTTAATAATGACTAGTGAGAAGAATAATGTCCAAGTGATGCTGGACATTTAGTTCAATAATGACTAATAGATAATGACCAATAGTCTTACATTAGGAAATAAAAACATATACTATATTAAAAAGTCATTATATTTTAGTCCTATTGAGGTAAATTAGCCGTTTGGATGTACTCATGCGTGTTGGCATGGAGAAGCTGTTCTATGTTTCATGCTACTAGGTTGCACCTTTTTCACCTTTTTCATGTGGCATATATGTTAACCAAAGTATATTTACACACCAGATTTGTTGTACCAACTAAAGGTACTCCCTCCGTCCCATTTTATAACGCCTATTTCGGTTTACGATGTTTGACTGAAATTATTTTCAAATCATTTTATATGACAAATGGTATAGAGTTAAAGAATAAAAATTACATATCAAAATACTACATCAAAAGATCTACAAAACTAGTAGTGACAACAATACTTTATTTTATCAAATTGCTAACGAAAATAGAGAAAGAAAGTGAATAAAGTTTGACCATGTGAATAGTGAGCATGCATTATAATTTGGGACGGAGGGAGTATGTAACATGCTTAAAATGTGGCCTAAATTTGTTTTTTTTTTGAGGATTAACAAAAATGAAAATGGGGAGTTTCAACAAAAGAGTATGAGTATGTGTACTTCTTAACAATAACAAAATTAAAGAAAGCATTATCCCACTAGGTGGGGTTGGCTACATGGATCAAACAACGCTATTAAGCCCTAGCTATCATGTATCATATCCGCTCTGAGATCATGATTATTCATGCGAAGGTCTCCTTTATTAGTGTTTGCCATGCAAGTCTCTTAGGTCTACCTCTTCTTTTAGTCACATGTCTATTCACCATTCGATCAACCCTTCTAATATAATGTTCTATTATTGGTCTTCTCTCCACATGTCCAAACCACCTAAGGCGTGTTCCTACCACCTTATTTATAATCTGTGCCCCTCCCACTTTAGCTCTCATATCTTCATTCCTTATTCTATTCATATGTGAATGACTGCTCATCCAACAAAGCATTTTCATTTATGCTCACCCTGACAAACTAGACAAATTATTACATGCATCCAAGGTCCATGGTAGACTTTCATATACTCCCTCCGTCCCGGAGTATTCGTCTAGTTTTGACTTTTGGAACTGTTCATCTAAGCACTTTGACTCATCAAATTATCTCAATGTGTAAGCCTAAATATATTCATGTGTGGTCTTGTTTGATTTGTCTTAACATATAGATTATTAATATATAATTTCTATAATTTTTAATATACAAATTACAAGATAAAATGAATTAAAAAAGTGTATTGGATGGTGTGTAAAAATGAAAGTGGACAAATATTCTGGGACGGAGGTAGTTGTTCAATAAACATTTTCAAGTATTGAAATAAGCATTTTTAAAATTAAAAAATATGTGACAAGGTCCATGTGGACATTAGGTGCACCATAGAATCACTCAACAAACTAATACGTACGTACTGTTTGAGGTGAGGCGTGGCAACCGGTTGTGGGTTGGGTATAGCGGTGGATGTTGCAGGTTGCGGGTTGGGAATGGGGATAGGGTTGTTTGGCAAACTGGATTGGGAATCGGTCAAGGGGTTGACGTGTTGGGTAGTGGCGGGTTGGGTGGGAGAGGGTACTGACGGGTTGGATGTTTGAGACGTAGGGGTTGACCGGGAAAACAGAGGAGCATAGTGAGGGTACGGTACGAGACTCGATATAGGCTGAATATACAGTGAGGGTGTGGATTGACACGGATACACAGTAAGGACAAGTATAAACGATTAGTAAGAAGGTTAGACACTTGTAAGCAGACTAGGACGTTGAGTAACCGACAAAGACACATGTAATGGATTTGGACTGAAGTTTGTGAGAGGTGTAGGGCGAAGCCATGGATAACATAAACAACCAAAGGGTTGGATTTTAAGGTAGTTTGGACTTTGTTGATGGAGACGATAAAAGGGAGTGTCAAACTGAAGAATGGGGGTATAGGCATGCGGTTGATTAGATAGACAGCAGTTTGGACGACATATGGCCAAAAGGAGACGAACATAGACGCAGAGTGGAGAAGAGCAAGATTGGTGTCGACGACATGTCGATGACGTCGTTCGGCCATGCTGTTATGTTCTGGGGTATGAGGAGGGGTGGAAAAGTGATATATACCAAAAGAATTAAGCATGGACTTAAGTTTTATAAATTCCCCAACATTGTCGGAAAATAAAGTGATGATTTTGTGGTTGTAGTATTTTTCCACAAGATTTTTGTACACACGAAAAACTTGAAAAACTTCTGATTTTTGTTTGAGAGGATATAACCAGATATATTTGGTGAAGTAATCAATAAAAATGACAAAATGATGGTATCCATCATATGAAATCCCAGAACAACTCCAAACATCAGTATAGACTAGTTCAAGGGGTTTGTGACTAATAAGAGTATTTTCATGAAATGGAATTTTGTGTATTTTATTAATATGACACGAGGGACAATGAAACCTATCGAGGTCCTTTGTAGGGAAGGACTTATTACAACTAGAGAGAATGGTGGACAATATTTTATTTAAGCGATGCCCAAAGCTATGATGTAGAGTGGACACAGACATGGTGGAGTTGACTTGTGGAGAAATAAGCAGACTGGCATAATAGACTCCATTAAGATTGGTTCCACGAAGAAGACTGGCATAATAGACTCCATTAAAAACAAGAGGGAGAAAATTCAACAGACACATGGTTAGTTTGACATGATTGTGAACCAGAGACAAGGTTTTTGTGAAGATTGGAAACACATAAAACATTGGTGAGTGGATGTAGGGATAAGTGTTTGGCCAGTGTGAGTGACTTCAAACCGTTACCATTTCCCAGGCAGATCTCATCAGGACCACCATAGTCAGAGAAGGACTGCAGAACATGCGGAGTTGGCGTGGTGTGGTGACTAGCCCCACTGTCAAAGAGCCATGGGGACATGGAAGGGTTGGAGGCTATAGTGAAATTGACCAGTGGGTGATCCATTTGAGTATTGTGAACAATTGGAACAACACCATGCTCACGAAGAAAGTGGGCAAGCTTCTGACAAACCTTGGCATCATGACCAGGGATGTTGCAGCATTGAAAAGAACCAGCAGTGTAAGATGAAGACCGGTCAGGGTAGGTATACCCTCCACGACTACGCCGGCCACCCGATGTGGTAGCCCTTTCGGTGGATGTCTGGGCAAAGCAGATGTGTGTGTCACTGACACAACTCTCTGCATCTCAGACCAAAAGAAGCGTACAAGCTCTGGTCAACAACATCCTGTACGGGAGAGCTAGGAGGAGCAGTGGGGTGTACACCGAGAATAAGACGAGATTTGCTTGATGAGAAGTCGCCTTGTCGAGAAATGTGCACCGGGGGCTACGAATATTTGCAAAAAAAGACATGTGAAACACGGCCCAAATGATGTTGAATAAAAAAGAACTAAATGTATTAACTTCTTACATTTCCAAGGCTCACCAATGACTTTGGCCATGCGACGAAGCTCCCTTCGCAATATGTGACGGTCTCTATGTGCTCAGTCGGACAAGGAATGTGATATTCACCCATTCTAGGAAGCACCAAGGTCACGCCGACCTTAACCTGGTGTGGAAGGAGGGGAACACCGTGCACCACATCTCCCGGTGCACGTGGGAAAACCAATCCATGTGCCACTATATAATCGGCTGGACCAGAGATCCTCAAGTAACAAGCAGCAACCTATAAAAAAAATTAGTTAGCTAATGTCGAAAACAAGTAAACACAAACCTAACTTGAAACCTAAATTAAAAAATATATGTACTTCAGGGAGATCAGCGAAGTCAACAAAATCTATACACGCCTTGCTACTACGCTGCCCATGATGAGGTGCTACAGAAGGTGTATGATGCGACATGGATCCAAACTCTGGAGCACCCCCGGACAAAGATAGTCCATACTGCTGCAAAAGAGAAGGAAGACGCTACAAAAATCCTGCTCAGTCATATAGTTACCTTCAGGCTTACGGGCTTCATGTTGCCTTTGAAGACTTTACGTAAGCCCACGTATGACCCAACACCCCTCGTCCGCCCCGGGCGCTCAGCAGTCCCTAAAGTTCTAGTCAGTACATCATTGTGCTCCTCTGGCACAAAGGTACCGACCACCTCCTCTTCCTTCAGTTAGACCTTCGAACCTCACGGATCATGCAGAGTAATACTATGACACCTGGATCTAAAAATATAGTTTTCAAAAAAATTACACCGTAGTTTTTACCATTCAATAGATTAGAGGTGCAACTTGTCTTCCATTTCAAATTTTCAATGCGTTAGATTTCTCAATCTTTATTAAATGCAATTATAATCCTTACTGTGGTGAGTGTGTAACCCAATTCCAAAAGATAACCATCTGGTAATATGGGCTTTCAGACACAAAGGAACGGTATAGTCCGAAACGGAGGCCCATATTTTGGACCGAAGAACGCCGATTTCTGGTTCAACTTTCTTATTTTTTTTCAGCTCTGCAAACGAACGTCGTAGAAGTCAGAGGGAGATCATCATCCTTCTTTCACTCCCTTTCTATCTTCGTGCTGGGGCGGGCATCTCTTTCCAGTTCTTTGCATCTCAAAGCTCAATCAAATTCTGGTAATTTCGACAAATCTTCGCGAATCAAATCCACACCGAAGATCTATTTCAAGCCGCGGATTGAATCATTTATGTTTTTCTCGCCGATTCATTGTTTCAAATTCCCAGGAAAGGAAAAATAAAGAAATAAAAAGATGGGAGTGAAACAGGCAATCAAAGCAATAGATGCTTTTCCCCGTGCTGAAGAGCATTTGTTGCAGAAGACCAAATCTGGCGCCCTTGGTATTCCTTTTGTCTTGTTTTTATAAGTTTATAAAGTCTGAATTGAAGAAATTGTAGATTTCTTCTCAAATCAGTTCGAATAATTGTTCACATAGTATGTGTTTGATTGAAAAACTGGAGATTTTGATTTTCTAATTCTAGTCACCTTTGTGCCCAGCCAGCCAAATGCAAAAAGTTTTTTTCCCAGTAATATAAAAACAAGAAGAAATATTCCCGGGAACATGAACAATAATTTGTTTCCCAGAAAACAAATCAATCAAGCGCAATGGTTTCTCCCTATTAAAGATAAATGTGTTTTTAAATTATAACATGCAGTTTTACTTGTTACCCTTGGTGGGATTGGAAATTAAACCTTAGACCTATCTAGAATTGGAAAATAATGGGGGATCTGCTGTGATTTTTTTGCAATTATTTATGCATGTTTGGTAAATAGATGATTGATATGTTAGATGAATCCATTTGTTTGCTTAAGTCACTAACTATCTCATTATCATCATCCTAGTCTCTATTGTCGGGTTAGTCATCATGGCAACACTTTTCTTGCACGAACTAAGATATTATCTTACCACAAATACGGTTCATCAGGTTCGCATTACCCTTCAAAATAATGTTATTATCTTTAATTTTAATATTTTCCAGTTCAAATGGATTGCAATTCTGATCTATAATGTGTATGCATTTTTCTTATGTAATAATTATGAACTGGCAGATGGCTGTTGACTTGAAACGCGGGGAAACTCTCCCCATACACATCAATATGTCATTCCCTTCTTTGCCTTGTGATGGTAAGAAACCTTGTTTGTGCCTTTTCATACATTTCCATGCCACTGTGTGTCTGTGTGAGTAGTAGGGGCAAACTTGGCGCATGTGTGGGGGCACAATGGTTATTTATTAATCCTAGCTGCAATACTTTCATCGAAGCAGATGCTCAATTTCTTTAAATTTGATGTGCATTTGACAGTTTTGAGCGTCGATGCAATTGACATGTCTGGAAAGCATGAAGTAGATCTTGATACTAATATATGGAAGGTAAGAAATCTGTTTTATCTTCTTTTTTGAACAGTAAATGCATATATCAATAATCCATCCATCTTTTTGCAAAACAGAGGTTTTAACGGAAATGATGGCCGTGGATTTTATATGTAGTGCTCAATGATGAGCCATCAACTTTTATCAAATATTTGGGGGGGGGGGAATTTTCCCAAACATAGTTACAGAATTCGTACACCCAGCCGCGATTTCCGAATTGGTACGAATCGTACCCAATCGCAATTCGCCGGCGATCCGATCGCCACCGGTACGGCGATCCAAATCGCCATGGTACGGCGCTCCAATTCGCGAAGGTACGGCGATCCAGATGCCCTCGAACGTCGCACCAAGTCAGAGAATGTGGCGTGCCAATCGCCGGCGGTCCAGCGATCCAAAACCCAATTTTGTCTCTTCCGCGACCTTCCCTCTTCCAACGATTCGCGATTGCACTTCCCCAAAGTCTCGATTGTTTCTGGATTGTTCTGTGACTTCTCTCCGTAAGTGTTTCGTATTTTCCTAGGCAGTCTCCTCATATATATATATATATATATATATTATATATATATATATATATATATATATATATATATATATATATATAGGGGCCGGTTCAGGTGAGAATGCACCTTGGTGAAAGAAATAAGAATAAAATCTAGCTTTTGGATCGGATGCATCGTGCGGCTCAGATTGCATCCTGCACTTAGATTTTGAAATAGTGCATTTTTAAAGGATTTTGGTGCATTTCGACATGATGCATTTTAAAATCATTTTGGTGCACCTAATTTTGATGCAATCCTGACCCTTAGATCTCACAATCTAAATCACCAGATTCATTCTTATTTCTTTCATAAGATTGCATTCTTACCTGATCCAAGATCTATATATATATATATATATATATATATATATATGTATGTCTCACTGATACGGACTGATTTCATTGTCCCACACCGGTTATATGGGGGACTTGGTGATGGGTTTATATAGCCAAGGGTTCTCCCACCTTATCAGCTAGCTTTTAGGGTGTGGCTCTCCCTTGTAGTGTATCAATGGTATCAGAGCCAACTCGGAGTGGTGGCCTACGGAGTGGTGCTCACGGAGTGGTGGCCTGGTGAAACCAGCCGTGACCAACGTGGCCATGACCAACATAGCCGTGACCAACGAGGACGTTGGGCCTTATGGGGGGTCGAATGATACGGACTGATTTCATTGTCCCACACCGGTTATATGGGGGACTTGGTGATGGGTTTATATAGCCAAGGGTTCTCCCACCTTATCAGCTAGCTTTTAGGGTGTGGCTCTCCCTTGTGCTGTATCACTCACCCTCTCAAGTCTCACCACAACCCAACCTAAAGTCCTCAATATCCAGTAATTTTTTCTCTCTTTTTTCAATGGCTTTTAGAATATTTTAGATGATGTCTTGTTTTTCAATTGGATTTTGTAATGTTATGCACTTATGCTCATCTTATCTATTTTTGTTTACTTATGTTTTGACTTTTGGTACGCCGAACCGAATACATGGTACACCGTACCGCTTCGTACCACTTCGTACCGAAATGAACCTACCCCTCTTCGTACCGAATTCGTTACCTCTAGCGAATTTCGTACCCGTACCGCGTACCTGTACCAAAACGTACCGCGATTTATGTGACTATGGTCCCAAAAAGTTGTCATATTTGAACTTAAAGCTAATTTATCATTATTCTAGTGTTTATTAAGTAACAAAAGTATCCCAAACAAGTTAAAGATGTTTATTTGTGCAAAACCTACAAATAATTTATGTATTATAAAATACGGTAGATGGTATTAAAAAGACATGCTGTTGTAAAGAAATTTGACCAACTCAGTGTTGAAGAGAGATGAATAGAGAAATGTGCCCTCCTTCCCAAAAAGAGCCATGTTTGGAGGGAAAAAGAATTGTCCCAAAAAACGAGTTATATTTGAACTTAAAGCTAATTTATCATTATTCTAGTGTTTATTAAGTAACAAAAGTATCACAAACATGTTAAATATGTTGAATTGTGTTAAACCTACAAATTAATTTAGAAATATAGTTATGGAGCATAATTTTATATACTTTGACTTCCAGTAATTGTAACTTACTAAATTCAGTTGTACCTTGGCAAAACATGACTTATTTTATGGGATGTATAGAGTAGATTCTATGAGCAACAGATCCATGAAAATTAGGATTAAGGATTTAACAGATACAATTTATTTTTGTCAATGTTTTTTTATTAGTACATTTAGAAGATCATGAAAAGCCATGAATTTGAATCTTTCTCATCAAGAGATTTGGGCATTTGGCAATACCTTGTCTATTACACAAATTTCCACACGTTACTAGCTCTTGTTAGTTAGTTTGTACATCTTTTACATATTGAAACTTATAAACACTTTCATGTTATAGTAATTGTATGTAATATACTCATCGGTAGAAGGTTTATGCAGCTTCGTTTAAACCGTGATGGCTACATTATTGGCACTGAATATGTATCAGACCTGGTGGAGAAGGAACATTCAAAGGAGCATTCGGGTCACAACCATGGTAAGTTATTTCTTTTATTTATAATTGTTTCAAATTTACCACTTTGCCTTCTGATATTTGATTGCTATGGAACTTCTCCCACCTTTTGTCAATCATACAACTCTATATATCATGTCTGAGGGAAGAGTATTTTTCTATATACTTGCACAACAGTATGTAATTAGTTTCATTTTGCAAAAAAAAAAGATGTTTTGGATAACATGGTTCAAAACAATTGTCATCAGATGATCATAAAGACCATCAGAAAGATTTACACCTGCAAGGTTTTGATGAAGAAGCAGAAAAATTTATTAAAAAAGTTAAGCAAGCATTGGATAACGGAGAAGGATGCCGGGTTTGTCTTTAGTAGTTCCAATGTCAGTGCTTTTGTTAGATGTCTTTTAAAATGTTGATAATTAATAAGGTATATAGTTCCCTACAGGTGTATGGTACTTTGGATGTTCAACGTGTTGCTGGCAACTTTCATATATCTGTCCATGGCCTTAACATTTTTGTTGCTCAAATGGTCAGCTTCCTTTGGATTCTACAGTATTAGAATCTTGAGTTTTTGGAGAATACACTATCATCAATGCACCCCCACCCCGGAAAAAATACTAAGGCAGTGTTTGATGCACAGTAAATGTTTTTCCACTGTTTTCTTGTGTTTTCTGGGTGGGGTGGGGTGGGGGTGGGGGTGGGGAGGGCATTTTGTTCAAAAATTATTTATTGTTAAGAAAAGGAAATCAGTATTCCACGTCCTTAGAAAGTTGTGTGTTGCACTACTATTTCATAGGCATGTAGTCAACTTTTGTAGGATAAAAGACACTTGAGAATATGGCTTGTCCAGTAAATTATTTTGAGGAAATTTACCAGGAACTAGAAAATGTTATGGAAAATTTGATTTTCTTTGGAAAAGCATTTCCATGAAATTCATTTTCAAGAAGATTAATTTCTTATGTGCCAAACACTGCCTAAAATTAACAATGGCTTAGATTCCCATTAACCAGTTCTATGTTGCATGGATGATCAGTAATGTCTATTAATTAAAGTGGTTTGGAAAAGCTTGAAATAACAGACGTTTCCTTGTAATTGTTTAATGGATTTCTTTTTCTGCACAGATTTTTCAAGGGTCTAATCATGTTAATGTAAGTCATGTCATCCATGACTTATCATTTGGCCCAAAATATCCCGGAATCCACAACCCTCTAGATGGAACGGAGCGGATTCTGCATGGGGCAAGTGGAACTTTCAAATATTATATAAAGGTTTGTGTTCTGGACCTTATAATGATGGATTTAATGCATTGCAGTAGTCATGAAGTTGTTCACTGGGTAAAGAACTTCATGTACCCCCCCTCAAAAGGGGGACTGGCTCTATAAACGTGTCTTGAAATTCGTGTTCTTTTGGGCAGATTGTTCCTACTGAATACAGATATCTGTCGAAAGAAGTTTTACCTACTAATCAATTCTCTGTGACCGAGTATTATTCCCCAATACACGAGTTTGATCGGGCATGGCCAGGTTGGTTTCAATACTAAATTTTCTATAGAGGATACTTTAAATGCACTTATTCATATTCAAGGAAAAGCTCATTTACTAAGTGGGTGTTTCGCTCTGCTTGTAAGTTGGTGAAACCGCTTATAAGTCATAAGTTGAAAACTTATATGTCAGGTTGTTTATAAGTATAAAAAAATTGGTCTTACCTACTTATTTTTAAGCAATTTTTTTTCCCTTTGTTTTGACCAAATCTTGTACAAAATTCTCCCTAACCTTTTATGAGTCTTCCCAATGAGTCATCTCTCATTTAAGCCACTTTACAAATATAAGCATAACTGCTTATTAGCAATAAACCAACAAGCACCTGCACAAAAAAGAAGAATGCATTTGTTCATCCAGTTTTGGGTTATCTTATCTTAATATAAAGATATTTCTGGTGTATTCGTTGCAGCTGTGTACTTTTTGTATGATTTATCACCAATCACTGTTACTATCAGAGAAGAACGCCGAAACTTTCTCCACTTCATCACCCGGCTTTGTGCTGTTCTTGGTGGTACATTTGCCTTGACAGGTTTGCATTTTTAAACAAGAACCTTGAACGAAGGCCTATTTTAAATTAACAGATTAAATTTTATTTAAATTTGTTTTGGAAATTTTTTCTTACTTCCCCGAAAAACTTCGGTCACTTACAGGAATGCTGGACAGATGGATGTATCGGTTTGTTGAAGCAGTGACAAAGCCAAACAGTAGAAATATTGTTAGGTAAATTTTGCCCAACCTGATGGAAATCGCAGTGTATTATTAACTCTTGGAGCGCATCTAATATGCTTCCATTGTGGTTTCGTTAGTATTCTTCTGCAAAACTAACTTCCCAACATTGTATTTCAACACATACATATTTATTATATATACGTACATTGATTAAAAGCTAGAATTATGGTTTTTTTTGGCATTATTGCTAGTTATGAAGAAATGCAAAAGGTAATTTTTTAAGCTGCTGACAGCTGAGTTTATATAAACATTGCAATGATGACAGTAATGTTTGTGCTTTCCTTCATTTGATTCGATTCCAATTTTTGTGTACATTGCCAAATGGAAAATGTTGTACTACCATCACCCCAAATCTTTCTTCCTTCTTGTAATGTAATGTGTAGAATGCTTTGGGGAGGTGTGAAAAAGGCGGAGGAGCTTTCTTCTTTCATCTTGTGTGTTGTTGTTGGAACAGAAAAAAACATAAAAACAGATTTAAGAATCACAGATCCGATTCTGATTTATTTTTCTCACTTTTCATGGGAAATTCACTCACCATGAATTTTATGATAACTCTACATCCAAAATCGAGAACAGAGATATTGCTAGAAATTTTAAAAGAGATAGTGACTTAATTAGTCAGTGATGGAGGTTGAGGAGGAGGGTCGCTGTGGCGGTAGAACATTTGTGGAGGGTGAAAAAGTAGGCCTGCACTAACACGGACCCGGGCCTGAGGTTCATTTTTTGCCCATAGAATATTTTTTCACTTTTAATTTCATTATCAAACACAAATAAATTTAATAAGATATACGTTCTACACCTCAAATTAAAATTTTTCATTTATTTGTGTTTAAAAACAGAAGAATTTTTTTTGGAGAACCTTACAAAAAAAAAAGAAAAATAAAATAAAAATCGGTACGAAGTAAAATAAAAAGGATACAAAAGGCAATGAAAAAGAAATTAAAAAGATAACAAACTACGGCGTACTTTTTTTACTCTGTATTGTATTTCATCTTTGTATTTTTCCTTTTTTAGATCCCAAAAAATTGTTTTAATTTTGAAGAATAAATAAGTAAAAAATTTCAAATTGAGACGGAGTGAGTGTATGTTACTTTTATTTTATTTATTTCACTTTTGAAATAAAAAAGGTATTTTTTTCTTTTTCTTCCACTACCTTTTCTATTCTTTTTTTCTTTTACTCCGTATAGAGTATTTTATTTCATTTTTTTGGTAACATTCTCCAAAAAAATTATATTGTTTTGAAAAATAAAGAAATAAAAAGTTTTAAATTCAGATGGAGAGCATATATGTTATTATTTTAATTGTAGGTATAAGAAAAATCGAAAATAAAATAGTGAAACTTCATGATTGAAAGAAAAAAAGAGAGCATAAATGTCAGTTTAAGTTTAGAAATAGGTTAGGTGGCGTGTGTACCATTTAGAAATCATAAGGTCTTAGAAATAACTTTAAAAAATAGAGGGGGTTTTGGTGCCATTTTTGAAAACCACGGCGGGCACCGATGTTATTAACCCATTAATACTTCGTATTATATTTAACACACATGTTCAATTCTCAACGAGAGCGTACACATTGACTCTTTGTACAGCATTAGATTTGTAAAAAATATAAATAAGTATTATATATTTTTTTGAGTGCGCAAATATTATAGTTTAATAAAGTTAATAACACTAAAAAATAAATAGGGGTACGAAGTATGCTACTCCAGTATTCGAAAGTTTTCGAAAATAAAAAAAAATCGAGAGAAATAAAGTCTAAAGATGCCGTTTAAATAAAAGAGGCGAAAATGTTAATGCATATCATTGAGTACAGTATTACTCCGTAAAATGAAATGTTTTACAATATAGAATGGATTAAATTCTATACTGTAAATCATAGTAGGATTTGTTGCAATGTGCTATGCTGTTTGGAGGGCACGCAACCTAAGGATCAAGCAAGAGAAAGTGCTCACTATTGAAGAAAGTATAGAATGGATTATATTCCATATGAAGACCTTCATTAACTATAGACTAAAAAATATAGTGTTGAGATAGATCTGTAATTGTATTTGTTGGTTGTATTCGGATCTTTAAAGTGGTAATTAAAGTTGTGCATTTGTTCAAAAAAAATGTTTTACACTTTACAGTAGAATTTTTGGTCGCCTTTAAAGATGCCGAAAATGTTAATGTATTGACAGCGCATGCAATTGAATAACCTTTTTGACAACGTAAGCAATGGCATTTTTAACAACGCAAACAGCTGCATAAATTGAGTCCTTATTTGAGGAGTCATAATTATTAGAGAAAATTCTAAAGATTAGAGTAAAAAATTATGAAAGTACTAAAATAAGAATCTTAAATATTTTTAAATCAAAATAGAAGTTCACACTGTGATTTTTACATTACGCACTTATCACATTGTCACATTCTAACTAGCACACTATCATTGCCACATTGTCATTCTACACTAATTTTTTAAAAAAGTAAATTTAAAAATAACTTCAGCCAAGCCTCGTAATCTAAACTATCCTTACTCCTTTCGTCTCATATCTTTATTCTCATTTTGACTTTTTTGGTCAATGTTTTAAATTTTGATCATAAATTACAAAAAATTATATTCAATTAAGATATAAATTTAATATTAATGAATTTTTTATCTTAGTTTTGAAACATCATATTCTTGTAGTCTATATTAATATATTGAAAGAGATATTAATAGTCAAAATATTGTATTGGAGACAATTAAAAATTAAATTAGAAGAAAATTATGGGACAAAGGGAAGGGAGTATCTATCTCATACGGAGTACAAAGATTACAAATGAAACAAAATTTAAATGTGACATTATTTTGTACCACTCAAAAAAGTGAGATTTTTTTACAAAGACAAAAATAGGCGAGTTTCAAGGAAATATCTTGGCTCACAAACAAAATAGTCACAAATCTCACAAACTTACTATTTGTGAATTTTAATAAAAAAAATAAAGTTATCTAAAATTATTTTAAAATTAAAATTTAAATCATAAATGATAAGTTTGTAAAATTTGTGATTATTTTGTTTGCAAACCCAGCATTTCTCGAGTTTCAAATTTTCAAGAAATATTTGCACTAAATAGCACTAAAACTTAAGTCATTTCCATAAATAGCACTTAAATTGTTTTATTCCCTAAAAAGCACTTAATAATGTCTATAATGTCCCGTGATGGCAAACATTTACTTGAATAATGACTAATGGATAATGACTAAACATACGACTTTGGGTCAAAAACACATGTGATGCTATTTAGAAAAGTGATGCATTATATTTTAGTGGTATTTAAATAAATTCCCCAATTTTCAATACCTTTAGAGAAGGAAAGCAACGGATTCGTCGTCCAAAGAAAACGCCGCAACCTCAGCACGAAATAGAGCTATAAATAGTAGCTAGCTAAATATCCCCACCCACCACCTACCTCCTCGATCATCAAAACTACACACCGGCCACTAGGAGTAATTCGACCCAATTAAAAGTTACTAGCTAGCTAGCGAGCTAGCAGTTATATATAACAAAAATGGTGATTCTTGCTGATGATGAAGAACTCTTGAAGAAAACCATGTTTGGAGCAGCAGGGGAATGGGATGAAGAAGACGAGGATTCATACCGAAAGTGTTCCGACGACGAGGACGACGACGACGATGATGATGATGACGATGATGACGACGATAGTGATGGAGAAGACAAAGAGGATCCCCCGGCCGGTGAAGAAGTATATGATCCCCCAATCGGCGACGAACAAGAATGTTGAACCACCCGCGCGCCTCCATCGACCACAACCGCACTCTACGAAGATTATATGTGGAACTCAGCCCGCCCGCAGCCGTGATATATAGTGTGTTAGTTTTTGCGCCATGCATTCCCCCACAACACTTATTATTACTCGATTGTTGTTGTTGTTGTTGTTGTTGTTGTTGTTGTTGTTGTTGTTGTTGTTGTTGTTGTTGTTGTTGTTGTTGTTGTTGTTGTTGTTGTTGTTGTTGTTGTTGTGAGAGTATTTCTGTTATTATCATTGTTATTCACTACATACTACAGAAATTACTTTTTGAATATGTTGTTTTTAACTTATTGTGAATCGATGCAAAAGATAACGATGTAATTGGTGCAAATACTTTTTGCACCGGTTGTTCAACCGATTCAAAAAGTCCCTTCGAAAACTAGCGCCAGTTCTGGAAGGAACTTTTTAAATCGATTGTTTTCATTGCTTGTATGTTAGGTTAGGTCGAAACCCTTGCGATACACATGAAATCTTATATTCTTAACACTACCAACCATAAAGTTATTCTTAACGCAATCAACCATGAAATCTTGTAACAAATAAATGATACTACACGCTCATCTTTGAAGCTGAGTAAGGATATCTAATGCATCGAACATCCATATAAATTGAATCCCAAATCATTTGATATCGATCATGCACATAATATTCATGGTGCCTTAACAACCGTGCCAACAGTTAAAAGGCACAAGCATGTTTCTGCTATATATGCATAAGTACTCATGATGCACGAGGATTTGAGTACTCGTTGGTACCATGCATGACAAGGCTACCCGTATTTGAGAGTGACGACTGATCAAATAATGAACTTATGCTTCCATCCCCCGTGTTGCCTTAACAGTCATGCCAATGGTTAAATGGCACAAAATATTTTCCATATCTCTGGATGTATATTTACTACTACTACTACACTATCACCTACAGTCATCTTCACTTTTAGTCATGATGGGATAATCCTCATTCGTTCAGCTAGAGAGAATCACTAGCAATTTATTCTAGATTCAGCATTCTCACAATTGACAACCATCTGCATTAAACTATGAAAGCCCCAACGACAACGAGAATGGCATCTTCAACAACACGTCTATTAGTTAACGGTCAAACCCGTTAGTGGATTGATAATTACGCCCAAAAATAGACGTTTAAATGCACATCTAACTCGTTTTCCCAACATAAAACATACTGAATGAGCCCATAGTTTTTTTTTCCTGCAAAATGTGTAACACAACTTCTATGATATCATAAAACACAAGTTGTACAAAATGTGTTCGGGATGGGGACAAATTTCTCTGCAATTGGGTTTCCTTCCTCTTGAGGTATCAACCTTTGTATAAAATGAATGAAGTAGCAGAGAACTAACTTTTATCCCTATCTGCAGATTTACATGAAAGGCTTTTCTTTCTTGGATTCATATATGCACAGTTTGGGAGGAGAGTCTTGATGAGAGGTTGCGCACTCACACTTGTTCATCGTTCCTCCTCGTGGTGGAGGTGTTCTGGGAAAGCCGCCGTCTCCCTCTCCATCTCAAATACTCCACCACCAGCGAGTTTGTGCTTATCGCAATCCCAAACCCAGTGAAGGACGAGAGCAACACCGAAAGGATAGCACTCACATTAAGCTGCATTTCACATTACAGTGTTCATTCATTCATCAAATACATGGGAACAAACCAATGTTGAAATTGTGTGTTTTTTGTTTACAGGTTTATCAAAATTGATGTTAAGATTTAGGCTTTCGCCCTAGCTTCGTACAAAAAGGAATGACCCGAGACAAAAATGTGACTTTTACAGACGGATAGATATACGCGCGCATTTTGCAACATCAATGGAAAATAAAAGAAAGAGAGATATCTTACCGCTGCATAGAATATGTGGGCAAATAAGATCACTATTGCAAACTGGAAAGAAGAATAAGCCCATATGTAGGCCCTGCTTACTGCAAATAACCAAAAACAAACATCATGTTTGAATAGAGGGTGTATGGGTGTGCTTATTAAACAATCCCAAGCATTTCAAACTGCTTCTATCCATAGAATTTGAAAATCATTTTAAAAATCCCTCAAACAAACATACTTGATACTCCATAGTTTGTAGTAATAGATGAGGACTTGTAAGTCTTGGAGATTCATTTGATTATTTGAGTGACAAGGGAAAAAATTACCAAATCAAACCAGTAAAGGAAACATTACCCATTGTAGAGGCAATCATAGATGACATGAACCCTAAAGCACAAGAGAAGGGCAGTGAGAGAGAAAGTGCACGAGCTCCCATGTCAGATATCTATAGATCAGTATAGCAGGTTTAAGGATGAAATTCATTAAACAAAAAGAGAAGTAATAACAATATGGAGGTCATAACAACATATAATGAAGACGATATAAATGCCAATTTAAATATCCACCATGTTGTTTCTAGATCATCATATGACATTTTATGACTCTTACGAAAAACCCATTTCAACATTGGTGAAGTTTTAAAAATCATTTATCTGTTTAGTTGAAACTTTAGGTCATTCTTAAAAAAAGTATCTACATTTAATAAATGTTGAGAACTACGAGCCAAAATGATAAAAATAGAGTACCAAAAGTTGCTCTAGAAAGCAAAAATATGCTAGCATGCTGACCATTACAAGAATAGGCACATCTTGCCAAACCCTGTTAAAAAAACAAAATAACCCGTTAAGTGTGCCTCTTAAAGAAAGGGTCCTTATAAATCTCAAAATTTAAAAGAATATGTTAAATATAACCGAATAATCTAACCAGAAAAACTATGTATGTATCGTAGAGACACTTAAACATGTCATACACAATCAGAGACAAAAAGGACATGTATGTGGTCATAGACTCATAGATTGGAGCAAGGCATATCCAAGGTCCCTAGAGATCTGCTTTATAGGGTATTATTGAAAACATTTCGTGACGTAAAAATTAAGGCCTCCTTTGGTAGCAAAAATCAGCTTATTCATATTCAGATATGATCTAAAATTATAAACAACACAATTATTCTTCATTTCTTTTCCAAGGGTCCAACACATTGTATGGTGTTGGTTTGTGAACCGCTGAAGCAAAGAGAGAAAAAACAAATTTTAAACATCATATTGATTTCATCCTTGTTGGTACGCTAAAGCATCGCACAAGACCAAGCCAAACAAAGAATATGCTATGCAGATACAGTAACTACAAAACTAGCCTGTAACGAGCCGGTTCCTCCTGCTGAGATGTGGTTGTCAGCCTTCTCACAGCAGTTGAAGAGTTCTGCAACTTTAGCAGCGTAACTGGGAGGTTTTTAACTTCCTGCTTGCAAACATCACACAGCTTATTTCCTTTGATACTAAACCACTTCAAGATACACTCCTTGTGAACAAGTGAAAGCTCTCCTTTGCAACTACACTCCATTTTAAATGCTTCGCCGCCTTCCCCAACCTCAACAAAACAAATTCTGCAAATTGCTTCTTCCTCTGGAATGTCTTCATCATCATCGTTAGTAACACCTGACACACGATGTGAATTCACAATTCTAATCAGCAACCCAATGAAATGATACATGCCCTAATCTCAATGGTGTCATTGGTATTCGGGATAGGAATTATAATTTCATTTTTACAACAACCCAGTATAATCCCAACTCCATTGGAAATCTGGGGGGTCAAGATGTATACAGTATTACCCCTGTAAAAACAGAGACTTTTCTGTTAGACCCTAGATGCCTTGCTGCATTTACTGCCCAACCCTTCGTAGAGAGTAAGAAACAAGGAAAGTTTAAAATGCTTTTTTTGTTTTGTCTATTATGTGCCCGAAACTAAACATTGTCAATGATGATTCTTTTAGCTCCATTAGCAACAAATTGACTATAATTTCATTTCTACTATTTAAAAATTAAGCTCAAACACAAAGCAATGCGAATGTGAAATGCATACCATTTTCGATTTCCTGAGCCGCCGTGACTGCTAATGCATTACCATCTGCATTTCTCCTGACAGATGAAGATAACGATATTACACGGATCAAATTTTTAGAAGATCCGGTCTTCTTCCAGCTTATAATTTTTACATTGGCAGGGACCGAACGCGAACGCGGTATATGTGGTCCGGCTTCAAATATCTATCAGTTGGAATATGCAAAAAAAACAATGTTAGGGGAATAACACACACACACACACATAAAACCAGCCATTACGTGCATCCAGATGTATAATACTAAAAACTCACAAGTGGTGATTCAGATTTGGAAGGATGATCATCCAATGGGGGGACAGAATCGGTGGGGGTTACGGGCAATGAACGGGCGGGTTTTGTTGAGGAAGAGAAGGACAAGACTTTGTTAAGGGAAAACGAAGGTTTATCGGAGGAGAGGATGAGAACAGTCCTTTCAGCATCTGGGTGTGAGTGTTTAGCCCTAAAACTCTTCTGTGGAATCAAATTCTTCACTGAAGAAATCAACCGAGCCGAGTTCGGTCTCGGGGGCAACCCGGCCCGAATAGATCCAGGGCTTGGAAGAACATCAGTCCTGGTGGAGAAACTGGACATTTCCCATTCTGACCTCGCCGGAATTTGCAGAGAGGAGAGGCTCGGCCGCCTTGCCCCCTCCTCCACCTCCTGCTTCTGCTGGATAAAAGGAAAATTTCACTTAATAATCAAAAAAGCAAAATCTGGGCAGCTCATACATAGGTTTTTTTTTAGCTTCCAAAATAGTACTCCGCGTGATAATTTCTCAAGCAAGAATTCGAAGTTTGAACAGACAAAGGGAGTAGAGTTGACCTGGATTACATCAGTTTCAGGTGGCTGAGACATTCTTTTTCCTCTTCAGACAGCAAATAAAGAAACACAGCAGAATTATAGTATTGTTCTTCAGAGCATTAGCGAAAGACAACAAGTCTAAAAAGTTGCAGTTCCTATAACGCGGTGATGGGGATTGAAGCAGTCGTGTTTAATTTATTTACTCTTCCGTCATTAATAATTAATGGTGTGTTTAGGAACTTGAAATTGAATTTCACGTCCGAATTTGGTTCAAATTATTTAGTATCTCTGACCCAGAGTACTTGTCTATATTGACTTTTTCGAGTCAAATTAGACAAAGTTAGAGCTCTAATTACTCTCAGTTTGTATTGCATATTAGTATAATGAAATGCAATTTTAAAAGTTCTCAATACGATAAATCTAATAAAGTCATTTTTTATTTTAAAATACACTACAATTTTTATTTAATTTAATTTCAAAGTTTGTCTAGTTTGACTTGAAAAAATCAAACTGGACATATACATTGGGACGGAGGGAGTATTTGGGAACTCAAAGAATTTGAATTTGGACTAGGACCAAATTCTTTAAATTCAAAACTAACTCAACTACAAATTCACACTTATTCTGATGTCATTTACAAATTCAACTCTAATTTTTCTAAATTGAGAACTTATAATTAAAGAGTGATATCCTCTTATGTAATGGCAATTCCATACATATTAACTCACATCTGTTGCCATCTTTATCGATTTCAAGATTCATATTCTAGAATTGAAATTTTATAACTTCCCAAACAATATTTGGCATTTGAAATTATGAAATTTTAAATGTTGGAATTGAAATCTAAGATTTCCAATGAATTCTAGTTTCCAAAAGCTACGTAAGAGACTAAGAGTATTCAAAAATTCAAACTTTATTCCTCTTTTTATGAGTTTTCGTTAGTCATATATCTCAGAGTATTTGTCTATTTTGACCTTTTTGAGCTAAATTAGATAAAATTTGAACCTTAATTAAATAAAAATTATAATGTATATTAGTATAATAATGAATTTAATATATTTAACTTGTTTAGAACTTTCAAAAATTTATTCCATTGTATTAATATGCAATACAAATTGAGAATAATTAATGATTAAAGTTTGTTCTGTTTGATTCAAAAAAATCAAATTCGGCGAATCTTCTGGGACGGAGGAGTAATAAAAGATTTGTATGCAAATTTTTTTTAATTTAATCCCAAATTTCATAAAAAATGATTTGAAAATAAGTTCAGCATAATTCTACAAACTTTAAAAGGAGGGATGGAATAACTTGCAAGAAGGAAATTTGACTTTTTTTATTCCCTCCCAGTGAAATAGAGAATAACTTCTAAAGCCTTTCTTCTCTTTTTCTTAATTAGTACCTAGCTACTACCTACCTTGCAAAGCAACTACGGAGTATAGTGAAAAATAATACTCCTATAAGACACTTGCTTTTAGGGATTAAGATACAATTTAAAAAAGTAATTGAAAAGATAATGGTCGATAACTTGATATATTTAGTAAGAAAAATAATGTAAAAGTGATCAAAAGAATAAGAGAGAAAGTGAAAAAATAATTGAAAAACTAAAAGGATAGTACCGAGTATAAAATTATTGAAAATATAGAAAAAGTAATTACAAAAATAAATTAGTTGTGTCAAATTCAATATAAGATTAGCTTCATGATAAGTGCTCAACTTCCCATTTCAAGTGTGCAACCGAGTATTGTGTTGCTTATAATAGCTTGAGTGCTTCAACCTCTTGAGTTAATTTTTGAGGCTGAATTATGTTCAAGTCTATTATTTCACATAGTAACGAAGCTACCGTAGTCATTGATGTTAGGACCATCCTGTTATGGACTCGAGAGTCGAGGACACCGGTATCCGTAGGAGTGAACGGGTGCGGCGTGCACCGGGGTGGCAGCGAGACTTCGAGATGGATTAGTTTATTTTATTTAATTATTCATTTACATCTTTTATTCATTAATGTATTTAGGTTTTTGTTAGGTGAGCGAATTATAAGCTCCTTCGAGGGTTTCTTTACGCTTCTTTACCTCGTCGCTTTTCTTGAACCGTCAGGATAGATAACGTAGATTAAACTAGGGTTGGGACGCCTCCTCATTATAAAAGGAGAGGGACCAATATTACTTTAATGAAGGAATAAAATACAAAACCCTAAACTCTCTCGTCTCTTGCTCGGATGATAGTTTCAAAAATACTCCAAAAATGTATTTTCTTATGAAATTAATCCCCATACTTTTAAATTACTGTTATTTTTACAAGAGAAATGTATCATGATCTTGCCAAACCTAAAAGAATGGTAGATCAATACAATAGCCACCCAATACATGTAATAACAGTGCAATGCTCATCGATTTGAAGGAATCAACCGGTAACAAGGTTTGTGTGGACAACTTTACCAAATTTATTGTTGAAGACATGAGAATAGGGATGTCAAGGGATTAGGATTTGGTCAGTCATTTTACGATGTTTGAATGAAGTTATTTTCAAATCATTTCATACGACAAATTGTATAGAGTTAAAAAATAAAAATTACATATCAAAATACTACATCAAAAGATCTACAAAACTAGTAGTGACAACAATATTTTATTTTATCAAATTGCTAACGAAAATAGAGAAAGAAAGTGAATGAAGTTTGACATTGTGAATAGTGAACAGACATTATAATTTGGGACGGAGGGAGTATATCACTCATCATTCAATCCATCCTCCACCGGCGTGCAATATTAGTAGTAATTTTTTAATCATTAATTTCATGAAGAGAACTAGAGAAGTATACATCACAAAAAGAACTCTTAGAAAAACGAGATATTAATAATTTTTATGGTGGAACCCTACAAAAAAACAGTCTTCTAATGTTTATCTTGTATAATTTCAATATTTTTCAAAAAATAAATATGAATAGGTTGATTGATGACTCGAGCAATAGGTTGGTGACGGGTTGTAAACATATCTACTCGTATCCGACCTAACCCATCATCAATCCATTTGTCATCTATCCATCATCATTTTCTTTTCGAGTTTTCATCCATTAGATCAGTCAGAAAATTTGAATATTTAACAAATTAGGCAAAAATTATCATCCCTACCCTGAAAAAGTCAACATCCACAATCCACTCAAATCTCGTACAAAGATGGATCAAGATTTCTTATTGATTGACCTCTTGAACATGGAGAGGGATTGAACTATCAATATACAAAGGGTTCATATAACTTTATCTCTCCATTAACATTTGTGATGTATTCTCTCTATAAGTTAGTCACATGTTCCCCATGATTAAAGTCTCACCAAAATATTCAATATAATAAGACAACCAAAAGCATTTCCAACCCAATTAATTTGGTCACATCCAAAGATACCAAATCAATAAATAAACCATCAATGGAAAGAGGGGTAAATGGGAGAGATTTTCCTACAAGTAGGAAAAGATTGTACTTTCTCTGTGCTGACTCTGACTAACCTATGTGAAGCCAAGAAACTAACTTGATTCCTCTTCTTCCTCCCAGCACAGCTTTCTTTAAACCTTAATTATTATGCATTTATATGCTCGGCACCGCCTTCATCTGTTCAACAAGGCAAACAAAACCCATTAAATGCATGTTCTCACAAGAAAAATAAATGCTACTCCCTAACTGATACAGATGTCAAATCTTTTTTCCCTGTATTATGAGTATAAAACTGTTGTCAACCTCTAACTATGGCCATATTTAGAAGTTGGCCGCTGGCGGTTAGCGGTTTTGAATGACTGATAGGTTTAACAATTTTGACCATCTGGATGTGTTTAGAGATTGTTTTAAATGATTGGTAAACTTTTATTATTTGTAAATACTTCATTTATTTTTTTAAAAAAATGGTGTACAATTAACTTTGTTTATTAAAAACACTATCTGTTGTTCTGTTCAGTTTTTCAAGTGTGCGACTTAAGGCTATAGGCTATGTTCTCTCCACCTGATCTGATCTGATTGGAATAAGTTCTCATCTAATTTGATCTGGTTTGATCTGAATGTAGTTATATTTAACGCTATTCCTGATACGATCTAATCTGATCTGGTCTGGTCTGATTTGATTCCAATAAGAATAAGTAATAAGAAAAAAATAATAAGTTGGGGAGAACATGCCCTAAATAAACAATTTTTGAAGGAAGAAGTATTATCTTTATTAACGCACACAATATCTATATTAACACACACAGAGAGTATATATGTGTCTATGTGTGTATTTATTTATTCAAGAGAAACATTGACAGAAAGATGTTCAATTTATCTCTAACAACTAAGTCCAACAACTACTCCCAGATTTCAGCTTTTCAAACCAAACAACCTATTCCCAAACACTAATTTTAGCTTTCTAAATAGTCAAAACAACCAAAGTCAGTGCAAAGGCTAAAAGCTGGTCGAAAAGCCATTTTTCAAAAACCCCTCTATGGATTTCCTTCATTCTCTTTTAACGGCTCTATGATTTTCTTCATACATTGAAAAATAAAGGAATACAAATACACCACAAAAATCAGCCACTTTCAAACTGGAGGGAGTATGCGTTTAAGCTATTAAATAAGTTGATTTTTTAACGCGATATAAAAGCCTTGTAGACTAACCCAGAGATCACTTATTCAATTTTAACTATCAACTTAAGCTATTGGCTAATTTGGTTTCTTAGCAATAATCATTGATTTTGTTTCATTGTTTCAACTATCTGCTCACTCTAGTATTGGGTTCATTATTTATTTATTCATATTGTGTACTCAATAATAATAAAGAGTTGTAAAAACAAAAATATGTAAATGAGCTACTCATATAGGATGTACCAGGTCAAAAAGATTTCCCAGAACTTTGGTTGTAAGCGTCTCCGAATATGCTGCCGAATCCACTTGGACGTCCACCGGAATTTCCAAAGCCTTCAGAGTTGCCACCAAAGCCACTTGGACGTCTACCGGAATTTCCAAATCCTTCAGAATTGCCACCAAAACCACTTGGACGACCACCGAAATTTCCAAAACCTTCAGAGCCACCAGAATTGCGACTGCCGAAGTTTCCAGAAGGCCCTCCACCAAAACCACCGCTTGAACGTCCAGAAGAAGGTCCACCAAACCCACCCCCCGCACGACCACCATATGTTGACCCTTGAAAGCTGCTGCCACCAAAGCGACCGCCGCCACCACCAAAGCGGCCACTTCCAAAGCCTTGATTAGAGGAGAAACGGCCATAACCTCCTCCCAAGTCACTCAACATGCTTTCTGCTGCAGGGTCCACTTCAATCGCTGGGAGCTACAAAGTACATTTAGTACCCGTTTAATTAAAACGTTACTCCGTATTTTATATATATATATATATATATATATATATATCAACAAGAAATGATTTTCATATATCATTTTCTTCATCCTAATTTATACAATATTTTCAAATACTGGGTGGATGATCAGCAACTTCGACCCACAATTCAAAATATAGAAAATCAGTATAAATGAAGCAGACATATCAAGGACACCCAGAAAAGATACAGGGGAAAAAGCTCTTCACTGCATGGTTCTCATTAGTGTTAAAACCTTACGTGCAAGAAATGACTCCCTTAGCCAAACAGGCGGTTGTAATTTGTTTTACCTATAATCACAATGATCAAATTAAATAATATATAATCGTCTTCAAAAACACAAGTGAATGGGATAACTGAAAACATAGATGGCTTAATTTACAAGCATCAACATCCACTTATGCATAAAAATATATAATTACATTCAGCAATTAGAATCAATAATGCCTGCAGAGGAGACATGCAAGGTAGAAGATATCACCATGTGATTGTCAATACTCTCACAGCCCACAAGCACACACACATGCGCACGCACATCCCAAAAAGATCCTCGAATAACCTTTCAAATCACATCTCTTTTACAGCCATTTTATTTTCAAATTGGTGTAGAAATTGGGTGGTTGGGTTGGCATTTTGGAGTAGGTAGTAGTTTCCCCATTTGTTGATGTATGCTTCCTTGTGTGCTTTCTGCTTGCCAGTGTTTTTTGTCGTTAATTTTAGTTGTTTTTTGCATTTTTTGTGTTCCTCACTTTCTCTGCTTTATGTTCCTACTGTGAGTACTTGAGTCGGGGGTCTCTATGAAAACAATCTTTTTACTTTTAAGTAGGAGTAAGATCTGCGTACACACACCCACCAGTCTTTCTACATTTAAGTAGGAGTAAAATCTGAGTAAACACACCCACCCCCCAGACCCAACTTTTGTGGATTCAACGGGATTGTTGTTGTTGTTGGTATCATAGTCACAGAATTCGCTCCCAGAGCCGCGACTTCCGTATTGGTACGATTCGTACCCAATCACAAGTCGCTGGCGATCCGATCGCAACCGGTACGGCGATCCAAATCGCGATGGTACGGCGCTCCCAATCGCGATGGTACGGCGATCCCAATCACGATGGTACGGCGATCCAAATACCTAGGTACGTCGCACCCATCGCCGGCGATACAGCGTACCAGTGGCGACTTCCTCGACTTCCTCTTCCCAGCAAAGCAACGTCGACTTCCTCTTCCCAGCAAAGCAACGTCGACTTCCTCTTCCCAGCAAAGCAACGTCGACTTCCTCTTCCCAGTTTGCCTCTTTCCCTTTTCGACGATTTCTCTTTCCCAAGTCTTCATAAATTGAGTATGTTCCACTTCCGAAGCACGTTCCACTTTCCCAATTAAATATTTCTCTTTCCCATTCTCATCATTTAATATTTAATTTAAAATTCAATTCACAATTAAATATTATACTTATTTTTATCTAATTTTGTTTACTTATGTTTTGACTTTTGGTACGCCGAACCGAATACATGGTACACCGTACCACTTCGTACCGCTTCGTACCGAAATGAACCTACCCCCCTTCGTACCGAATTCGTTACCTCTAGCGAATTTCGTACCCGTACCACGTACCCGTACCGAAACGTACCGCGATTTATGTGACTATGGTTGGTATAGAGGTACAAATATATGTATCTATACACACACACACACATATACTCCCTTGTAACATGAATTATTGCGAATTGCACAAAACGAAGAAAAATTCCAAGTTTTTTCAAACTTGCATAAGTAAAAACTACATCAAAAGTTCTACAAAACAATAGGTGATAATGATCTTTTATTTTATCAAATAATCAATGAAAATGCATAAATAAATAAAAGTTATTGTGAATTTGAAATAGTGCACATTGTAATCAATTGTGGGACGAAGGGAGTGCATGTATAAGAGAAACACGCGTGATTTGAGACTAATCTTGAAGTTAAGAGAAATTTTACACATGCAAACTGTTAGCTGGTTTATTATTAATTAGCTTGCAATTGTTGCCAATGGGGGTCATAAAAAAGTCAAACTGGAAGTTTGTATTTATTCATATGTATATGCATGCTGTGAATTTATCGTGAAGCATGAAACAATGCATTGTTTGGTTTATACACACTCACACACACAATTGTTCAGGTTTATTGAAATAATCAAGTCCAAGTGAGGCAATCTCTCAGCAGCGCATAGTACAACTAATAAACAGTACCTAGAGATGTAAATAAAAAATATTTAAAAAATTGCAGTTCATGTTCTTACCTCGGTAAACCTGCACCCCACATCACGCTCAATACCTTTAACATCTCTAAGTTGCTGATGTGAATACATGAGTATTGCTCTTCCTTTCTTACCAGCACGTCCAGTACGGCCAGATCGATGAACAAAGATCTCTGAAGAGTTTGGAATTTCATAATGTATTACCTGAAGAAGAGAAACTTTCAGGGTAGCTGAAATTAAAGGATGAAAGATTCCCTTTCATTTTTTAAACCCGCTGAAACAGCATAATGAGAACTCACTAGTAGGTGTTGGCACGGTCCATGACACTACTAGAACCTATCATGGACCATGCTTATTGAAACGGTACAATATCGGTCCACATATGAATCCCAAAAACGTTCAGTATCATTCCATTATGAAATGGAACGATACACTACCATAATATACCATGTTAAACCGATACCAAAAAAGCAAGCAATTATACCCCATATAATATTGAAATGAAAGTACAAGTTTGTATAAAAAACACTTGTATTTAAAAAAGCACAACTTTATTAAAAAAAGAGAATGAGTTGAAATTTAAAAGATCATAAATCTTAAGAATAAAATATAACAAGTCCAAATTCTAAAAAATAATGACTTTTTTCAATTCATACGATATTGGACTATTGATAAGTCTAATAATAATAATAATAAATGTAATAATAATAATAATGAAAATAATATTCAAAGATGGAAAATACAATATGGAGTACTCCATATATGGCATATTTCATAGTTAACTTCAAAGGGTGTGGTTCATGATAAAAGATTTTAAGTTTCATATCACGGTCTCATCCCAATTGATTTCTATTCGGGTTCCGTTTGATACTAAAAAAACAAAACATGATAAACGGTCTGTTACCAGTACGGTCCGGTATTTGGTTTTTTGGCTCAATCCTTCTCGCTGTCATATATAAGCAATTAAGCATATCATCAATTAAAAAGACTAACCAGATCCACATTAGGGACATCAAGACCTCGGGCAGCAACATCTGTGGCCACCAATACATTGAAGTGACCATCTCTGAAACCAGACAGTGTTCTCTCCCTCTGGTTTTGTGAGATATCCCCATGCAAAGCTTCACATTTGAAGCTTTTTTTCATGGCATAAGCTAATCTATCAGCATCACGTTTTGTTTGTGTGAAAAGAATACACTTCCCTCCTTTAGCATGTTCCTACAAAAATAATAGTGCTCCCATCAGATAGAAGTAGGAATCATAAATTTCACATTATAAAGTATAAACATGGACGAATTATAATTCAGCCTTTGGGGATCTAAAAAATTTGGTAATAGATTATACTGTTATTAGAGGGCCGAGCACTGCAGGTTTCTGATGCATTTCACAGGCAATTGAGTACAAAGAAATTCCATCGGCTAGCTTCTGATCTGAGTCCCCAACCTGTAGCAAAAAGAGTACATTATTCTAGTTAGAGACATAGCATGCCGCCAAAAACACAGGGAGAGGATTGGCAGGCTTTGGCATGTATCTTAATATATATATATGGAGTATTTGAGATTGCATCTAAATGAAAGATTCGATAGTGCGGGGTATATGATTATGACTATAGCATTTCAATCCCCTTTTATTCAATTTTAAAAACATTATGTTTATCAAGAATGCAGGCTAAGCCCTACAAAACCTGTCATCTAAACAGACCATAAAGAAATTGTATACTTCAAACTAGAATAGATTTTTTTTCTTTTTTGCATTGAAGGACCTCATACTCACAAGATCAATCTGTACTGGGTTTTTCAAGAACTGTTGGGTGAGTTTCAAAATCCAATTGGGCATTGTTGCTGAAAACATCAGTGTCTGACGATCCTTTGGTGCATTTTGTAGAATCCTTTCAACATCATCCGCGAATCCAACATTAAGCATCTGGTCAGCTTCATCTAGAACAACAAACTGAAGTTCTGATAAATTCAGCGAGCCCCTTTTAAGCAGATCAATTATTCGACCTGGTGTCCCAACAATCACATCAACGCCTCTATCAAGTTTACCCATTTGAATTCCAATGGGGACACCTCCATAGACACACAATGTATCCAAATCAGGAGCAGACTCGCAGAATTCTTTGTCCACTTGTTTTGCAAGTTCTCTAGTAGGAGCCAATACCAATGCTAAAGGGTTCCTCCCCTTCCTGCATATATGAGAATAAGGCACAAAAGGTTCAAAAAATCTCCAGGTAATTAAAAGGAGGCATGATACCTTTAAAAGTGTACGGCCGGCAATGGCAGACCCAAAAAAGTAAAGAGTGGTGTCACTTTTCAAATCAATAGTTTAAACTAATTCCTAATTTAATAACTAAGATTAATATATTCACAAAATTTATATTATCAATATTACGTATAAAAAAGCAAAACATAAATGTATAAAAATAATAGGGAGACCTATTTAAGTAAGAGTAAAACATGTTGGGGGCGGTTCATATGACATTGCCATGGGATGACCCAGGGGCGCTACAGTGCCACGTTTGTAAAATTGACAATTCCTACCCCCTCTAACACTCCAAAGTCAAAATTAATTTGGGGGTGCACTTGAAGGGGGTGGGGGTGTGTTCAGGTTAGGGTAGGGTAGGAGGATTCACCGGGGGAGTTAGAGCGAGTAGGAACCGTCAATTTTACGAACGGGACACCGTAGCGCCCCTGAGTCATCCCATGACATGGGGTTCCAATGTCATGGGAACCCTCCGAATCATGTTACATGTACAAAAATATGATTTTTCATGTTTCTATATTAAAATAGAACATATAATGAAAAAGAATGTCAATACATAAAGCTTAAAAAGAATGTGAATCCCAACATAAAATATCAAGTTATGGCATTCCAGTGCTAACATTCTTATTCGAAGGATAAAAAATGCAGCTTTGTAAAAAAAAGAGTTCAAAAGGTGAGTTTCGAACGAAGTATTAGTTCAAATTATACTAATACATATACTATGTTTATACAGCGTCTAGTGGACCCCACTTGACCATTGCAATATATACCGCACAACTGGTTGTCCAGTTTTTCTCATACATCTATAGAGTGTACTCATTTACGAGTAACTGAATACTCATTTTCAAGCAACAAAATACTCATTTTTGAGTAACTAACACTCATTTTTCTTAAGTTCAGTTATGCTCGAAAATGAGTTTTCGGTTATTCGAACATGAGTATTGTTTTACTCTAAAATCAAGTTTCAGTTACCCAATATAAGTATTCATGTAGATGAACGGAAAAACCTGACATCTGGATGTATGGTATAGGTACTCCTTGACCATATGTACGTCCACCCAGTAGTTGCACATAACTTAAGATTTATGGTTTCATTAGTACCAAATTATTGAAACTAGCATAGACACAAAATCAACAAACCCGTGCTTCTTGTTGTAACCAATGATCTTATCCATTATTGGAATTCCAAAAGCAAGAGTCTTCCCTGTTCCAGTTCTAGCTCTGCCTATCATGTCAAGCCCCTGCATTGCTGGTTCCAAAACTGCTCTCTACAAACCCAGAATAGATTATAGAAGAGTACGAAAACCAGAGTACCAAAACGGATCCCATGTGAGTTGAAATTGATTTATTAACCAAGAAATGATGCAAATGTAAGTAGATAAGACATAAGGAGACAAGAAAATGCTTGACTTATGGACGACTCATTCGGCAGAAAAAGGCAATTAAGGGGAAAACATATGTCGAGATACATATAGCTCATTTAAAAATACATGCAATTCAAATGGAAATTAAAAAAAAAAACTTTAGGTTGAAATAACAAAAACAACAATAAAAGCCAGTGTAATCCCAACTCTATTGTGGTCAGGGGTCAAATATACCCAGCCTTACCATTGTAAACAGAGAGGCAGTTTTCTGTATATCTTTGGTGCATTGCTGTATTTACTACCCAAAAACTCATACAGTAGGAAGTAAGACACAGAAGAAATATAATGTGTGATTTTGATGTAGTCCACTACTTTCCCATAACGTAAAAATTGGCAATAACGACTCTTATTACTCCATCGGAGTGGTACAACTCAATCAATATTACAAGTTTCAAATTGTACGGCAACGCAAAGATTAAAAAAACACGTTTGGTCTATTCTCCATTGGTTACCTGAATGGGAAAGAGCTGAGTTATTCCCCTCCGAGCCAAGGCCGAGACGACTTCCGGAGCAATGCCGAGCCTGGAGATCTCAAGCCCTTCATCCTCTTCCTGCGAACGAGCCACAGCCGCACCAGCAGCCAACGGCCGCGAGATGTGTAAGCCCCTCACTATTTGTCCCAGCGAAGGAGTGAACCTCCCAGTAGCTGGAGGATTAGACGCGGTGGCGACGAACTGGGGAACGAGGCGATCATTTCTGCACTTGACGATTTCGGAGGAAGACGATGATGAATGGAAGAGGTGCGATAGAGCAGCGAGATGAAGCCGCTTTGATGCCGGCAATGAAGAAGACCTTCTAAGGAGAGCGCTGCCGATGTTCATCGTGATTTCCTTAAACCCTAGTAAACCCCAGAGGGAAGGTTTTTGAGTTGTGAAATGTGAGTTAACTCGCCGCCGTTTACTTCCACATACCCTTTTTTTCTCCTCCTTTCAAGGTCTGATGGGTTACTTGGGTTTTGAGCAATGCTATTGTCCCCCACCCCTTTCTCCACCATTTAATTTTATTTTATTTTTATTTATTTAATTTTGTTTTAGTTTCTTGCCTTTTTGTGTGGTGATGGAGGGGGTGGGGGACAAATAGGGTACACCAAATGATGTACCCCTAGCATTTTTCTTGGGTTTTAGATGCACCGTATTTTTTTTCTCCCTTTTTTTAGGGCTCATTAACCTCATTTCATTAAATGTGTTTTTCTTCCATCCAAAAATAACTTCTCATTTACTCCGTACTACTTAGCTTGCAGGTAAATCCAAACTTATTTTGTTAAATTGTACATTTTTTGTTAAATAGATAATTATACTTTTAAAATCTATCTTATATGTGATATTTCTTTATAACTCCATATATCTCCATATATTTATAAATACAAAATTATCTATTTAATATAAACAAGGTGAATCTTACTATAAATAGATATTGATGGTGTAAATTACTTGATCGGGTAAACTGTACTAGACCGGGTCTAGAACAGTTCACTTGATTCGATAAAGTAAAAAGGTGAAAACACTCAAATGACCGGTAGGACTGTAGGTGGAAACACTTGTAGCCCAATTGATATTATACTCCCTCTGTCCACAAATAAATTTTACGTTCACTATTCACGGGGTCAAACTTTATTCACTTTGTTGACCTATTTTCGTCACCCATTTGATAAAATAATATAGTCATGTCACCTCTAGTTTTGTAGATCTTTTGATATAGTTTTTTAATATGTAATTTTTATTTTTCAATTCTACACCATTTTTCATATAAAATAATTTGAAAATAACATCAGTCAAACATCGTAACGCGCAACGTAAAGTTTATTTGTGGACGGAGGGAGTATAAGAGAATGCACGTGTGCTTTTACAGGGGAGTTTAGAGAGAATGAATTCGGATATCCCTTTCTGAGGTTTACAGTAGTATATATATACTAGGCACGTTCAGGCACGTTCTCGGATGGTAGGAGGTGATGGCCTTCGTCCTTTTGCTGCTTTGTCACCTAGCGAGGAAGATTACTTTCCTTGTCGCGTACTGGTTTGGACAGATTCCTTCAGCATCTCCATTGATCCTCCAGCGATATGGGTCGCTACAATCCAAACCACTTTAGATTCCCTTCCGCCGACGCTTCCTAACCCTAGAAAACAGACCGGGTAGTTTCCTAGGGACGAGTTTATCATATTTAAGGGAATGAATGAGGCGATGAAATAGTTTGACCGGTATACATTTCTGAAGTATACCGGTCACCTTCTTGAAGATTAAAGACTGTCCTCTGGTTGAAGATTAAAGACTCCCTTTCTCGTACTTTTAGGTTGACCGGTCAACTATCTAGTCTTCTCCTTTGACCGGTCATGGGTGGAATACACCCATCAGATATAAATATAATTTCAGTAAATTCATCCGTAGACCTAAGGTCAACACTTATTTTTTGGATTTTAATGTATGCAGTATAGATGAATTGAGCTATTTGAAAAAAATAAAAAAAATCTCTATGTTGATCCTCTAAAAGTGTGAGAAGATCAACATTTCATATGTGGACCTTAGAATGATACACAACTCATGAATACAACAACACTCTTTTTTTAGTATTCATATAGTTTAAATTATAGTGCTCCCTACATCTTAAAGTATACTTTCCATTTGCTTTTGAGCAAAATTTTATAAATGATCCTTCATAAAAGGATATCACAAAAATTTTCCAAGAATAGAAAAAGAACTACTCAAGTAATTTTTTAGACATTCCAAAAAAATAAAGAATATTAATTTGTAACAAATGGAGTGCTTATCTCGTAAAAAAGGTTCTCTTTGTCTTTTTTATTTCTACATACAAACACAGCTTTGTTTCTTTGTACATTTATCATTCTACACACTCAAAATATATACGGAGTATATCAACAAAAATTAGTGTATGCATATTTACAGACAATATAAACATCATTACATCCACAATATAAATTATCATTGAGGAGTACATTTGAAGAAACAAAATTAGTGTATGCATATATACACACAAGGTAAATATCACTGCATCTACGAAATAAATTGTCATTGAGAAATGAGAAGTACTACGAACTTATGAACAAAATCATCTTCAGACAACCAACGAACTTGTGGTCAAGCAATATAGTAATAATTGTTGACTCATAAATATAAAGTCACACATTTAAACTCCAACAGAACAATTGACTTTTTATGCTTTAATAGGAGTAACTCAAGGTTATTTCTTTGCTTTTTCGTGGTTTTGGACACAAAATGAAAAATCAGACAAAGCTATCGGGACAACTGTCACAAATAAAAGTAAATTTCATAGTTGCCTGTTTGTTTACTTTCAACTTAAATGTGTAAATAGAATTGCTACAAAAAAACAACACAAATACAGCCATTCAGGGGTCCATAAGGTAAATGTATAAGAAGATAGTGATGTTAAGTCTCAACATGTCTAACTTAAGGCCTAAATGGTCTAGTGTGACATATGGAAAGTAGCATTCAGAAAATTTTAAAGAGGCAGATGTTTATTATTATCCAAGGAAGTTCATGATCACCAAATGGAGCACTAGATTGCAGAGAACAAAATCTGCATAAGCTCGTTCTGGAGGGAGATCCTGAAATAGTAACAGGAAACAACAAGATATATAGAATGTTGAGGATCTTCCGTTGATAAGAAATTCTCGGAAAACCAATGTCAATTTACAAATTCCACAGTTTTGTACTCAAACTTATAGAGAATATTAGGAGTAGTAACTGTTATATATTGATCCGTTTGGTAGCTGAATATTTCTTATCATGTCTATTCCATAACTATTGACTCCATGATTTGGGTGAAACTAATGTTATCCAAAAATGTTTCCTTTTTAGCCGTTTCACGCAATTAATTCTTACAAAACGGGCTCTTATATATGCCCAAGACCAGAAAAAAAGGAAAAAGATTTGCAAAAAGGAGGAGCTCCAAGAGAGTACTTTACCTTGAACTCCTTGTTTTCTTTGTTAACTTGGATTCTAAGACAAACTGTGAACAGAGTCTTGAATCAGTCAACAATATTAGCAAAAAACTTGTACAGTAGTTTTTTAAAAAAGGATAACCGTGCTCACCAGCTAGGACTGCTGTCCCTATACAAGAAAGTACCCCTGAGAGAAAAGAATTGAATGGAAATGATCCCACAATGGCCATGTATACCACCTAGTAGTAATAAAAGAATGGCAAAATTAAATTATAGACGACTATACGATACCAAGGAAATGAACATTTCAGCTAAAAAATAAACAAGTCCTTAATATGCTTGATACGACAGCCACATAAGCACAGAGTATCAACGTTGAAAATCAATAAAAGGCTGCAGTTTCTATTTCTCTTGTAGCCAAAAAGTGCCATTTTTTAAACTAGTGATGCCGCTCAAAACAGTGTTCTGGTAGGCAAACCACCAAAATAAAAACAAGGCCATAGAGATACAAGGGCACCCCAATGCCCGATTCAGGACCTACAGAACAATACATACATTTTATCTTCCAGAGTTAGTAGTTAACGTAAGTAATCTGTCACCGAGTTGGTATTGTTACTTACAGAAAACAGATTAAAGAATGGGTTACAGTTTAAACAAGGTTAAGACTCCAAAGAAAATGTCATATATCAAAAATCTGAATCTAACATGAATCCATCTGTTCCGTTCTGTGTAAAGGTCATGTACTGCAATTGGAGAGAAACAAGCAATACTCCTAAACTAAAAACCACGCCCAATCCCAAGAGATCACATTACACATATTCGATTCAAATTGCAAACTCCCAAAACGGATCATGAATCATTCACAGGTTGACTCAGATGTTATAGCAGCACGGATAAATTCACCATAAAATGTGACAAATCAAAGCAAATCTTTTCACAAAAGAAGGCAAATTCGCAGATCTGTACAGAAATAAGATTAGCAAATGGAAGTGGAGCTATAAACGGAGGAAAAATCACCTGAATCAGAGCGGTGAAGAGAGCAAACATGACATAGAGATCGATGATCTGAAAAAACGAAAAAAAATTAAACAATTGCAAATTCAGGCGATAAACATGCTTGGCGTCAAAAACATCGAGAGAGCGAAATGTATAGAGTATAATCACCTTGAGGTTAGAAGGGGTGGCTGCGTAAGCAGATCGCAGAGACTGGAAGAGAGCTTGAACATCCTTACTCGCGGACGATTTCGCCATTTTTCTCTGCGAGAATTCCCTTCTCTCCCTCTCTATCTACGATGGCGAAGGAGGAGGATTTGACTGACAGCTCCGAAGACTTCCAGTCTAGAATCTAGACATGTTTTAAACCCTCGCCACTCGCAAGCGAATGTATCTAAATATTTAAGACTTATTTAATCAAATTAACAACTCGGCCTATTAGCTCAGCTGGTTAGAGCGTCGTGCTAATAACGCGAAGGTTGTGGATTCGAGACCTGCATGGGCCATTTTTTAATTTTTTTCTTCTATTTCCAAAGTTTTTTAATCGTATTTGGGTTTTCTAGAAAATGAGAGATATGTGGTGGTTTATAATACGGAGTACTACACTACCAAAAAATATTTCCCCATTTAGAGTTTTCCGGTCAACATTTTACAATTTAGACTACAAATTGTATTTCTTTTAAATGTAATGTGAATTTAATATAAAGATTTTCATTTTAAGAATTTGATATGTCAGATTTTTATAACATTTATTTATATAAAATTAAATGGAGTAATAGTTAAAGTGGATAGAAAGTTAGATTTGAAAAAAAAAATAATCAAAATGTAAACACGTTTTTTGGGGGGAAGGTAGTATGATTGAAAACCCTTCACATGAGTAATAAGAGTCAAAATGGAATACACATGTGCCCACCACTAGCATCTTTGCAAGGACAAAGCTACCCTCCATCTCCGTTTTCAAAGGTGAAAAAAATACAAAGGGCAAACAAAACTATCAATATAGGCAGCAGGTAATTATTCACGCCCAAGGGACCTATGAGCAGTAGCGTTTGCAGCATGGATTTGGCATCACTGCTGATGATAGTGTCAAAACTCTGATGTCATACGGCACGTCCAGGGCTAGTCATGTCTTTTTCCCCACACGTGATTGCTCGGTCAGGTACCTATGCCGTTGTAAATTTGACACGAAGTGTTCACTTTAGTCACAATTTCGAGACATGAGAGCACACAACTGAATCAATGAATCCTTGGCTAGGATTGATTCATTGACTACATGATTTTAATGAAAACAGTGCAGCTTATAGCAGATTCTTACGTACTTTCCAGTGTAGAAGCCAGCAGAATACCATGCATGCAAAACCTCTGAAAGGGCGGTCTCAGGTTTGGATTCATTGTCTGCATGGTCATTACTCTTCTTTGGTGCTCGCTCATCACCTGAATGCAAGAAATAATAATTTTGTAGCATGGTCAAGAATAGAATAACTATGGACCAAACAAGCTGCTACTTTCTCTAGGACTTCTAAAGTTTCAAGATCACAAGTTTAGGAGAATCTGCATTTGATGGTTATATATGGAAATTCCACCATATTATTCTTATATGTTCCGTGGGGTTGGCCTTTTTCCAATACAAGGAATTATACAAAGATAAGGACCGCACACATCACAAGGAGAAGTTTTTGTTCGGTTGAAAAAGAAATGAACTTACCGAAATCTTCCCTCAACGAAGATAATGCTTTCTCCGCAGAACCCATTGCTGTTTTCACAATATCAGGTTGTTGAAGAGACGAGGTTTGATCAGACTTGCTTTTTACAGTATCATCAGCATTTTTATCAGTGCAATTTCCACCCACGCAACAGGATGGTGATGCCATGACTGGAGGCACCCAACTCTGGCATTCATAAGGGCAGTAAAATGAGGAGACCATACAGTTAGGAGCCTGTACTGCATAAGTGTGATGATCTTGAGCGTTTAAGGTACTAGAATCACCAAATTGGTTAAGCTTCTGTAAAACCATTTGCCTCTGACCCTCAAGTTCATTGTACTTCTCAAGCAAGCAGGTGTAATCTTCTACACTACGTGAGTTTACATGGCTTGTGGTTTTATCAAGGGGCTGTTCAATACCACTTGCCACTGTGTAAGGTTTTTCATTTATAGGCGAAGCAATACTAGGTTCCCCCATTTCTGTTGTCCTCGTTGATGAATTTTCATTATCATCACTTGTTCCCTTGTGCCTGCAACAGGAAACCAAACCCGAAAATTTAGTATTTATTTTTTTTTAAAGCAAAGTATATTGATTTAGCATTATGCATTCTAGAGTAAGCTCTCGGAACACATTAATGAGGCATAGGTAAAACCAATATGCAACATAATTCCTTGTCAATCCTCTAGATTTATGCGCACATATAACATTCTACAAAAAGGTCCACTCATTGTTCAAAACTCACATATTGAAAAATGGGTGAGTACAAATGGCAACTAAATACAATTTACAGTTCCTTGCAGATTCCATTTATTTGGTATGCTGGCTACGAGTCTTGACTATTCATCTAAAGCATTAAAATGAAAGGATACTAGAATAGTATGGCATGAATCAACATGAAATTATTTCATTCAACTATCGACCTTCTAGCTTCTTTGCTTTCATCATCCACAGCAGACAAATTCATCACTGCACAGTTAGCCCCATTAGTTTGGTTATGATAGATCTGCAAAACATATGATACAGCACGGCTATGTGAGAAATAAAAATAGAGATGGGATACAACCGGAAATACACTATTACATTTATTACAGAGCTAAGAATGGTTAATTGGTTCCAGACAGTTGATCAGGCTTGAAAGTGATATTTTCTACATGAACGCCACCAACATAGCATCGAATAACCGTAATCGAGAAATATAACGTCCGGTCCTGTTATCTCGAAACTGTGAAGAAAATGACCAAAGTCTTTGAGAGAATCAAGTGGTTTCACAAGAGGTAGAGAAGGGTGAAGACAGGTCGAGGTTAGAACCGGTTGAAGACACTGGGGAGATAGTTCTTCCGGAGGCATTCGCGGACAGAATGGTTCTGATCGGCCGGGAGTTACCGGATGGACTTCGAGGAGAAATCATCGTGGCGGATATGCCGGGCATTGGCTGTAATGGACGGACACCGGCCAGTAAAGCAGAAGAAGCGACACATGGCGAGCGCCCAGGGGGGAGTTTATGCGGAAAGAAGTGAAGGAGCTTGTGGCAGTTAGCCACATCCGGGAGGTCCAGTACCCGGCATAGATGGCGAACGTCATCCTGGCACCTAAGGGTGACACATGGCGGATGTGCGTAGATTACATTGATCTGAACAAGGCGTGCCCTATGAATTCTACACAATGGACGCCTTCAAGGGTTACCATCAGATCTACACGGCGATAGAAGATGAGGAGAAGACATCCTTCCTCACCCCTGAAGACACATACTGTTACCGGGTGATGGCCTTCGGGCTAAAAAAAACCAAGGCACCACTTAACAGCGGATGGTGAACCGGCTGTTCAAACCCTTGCTCGGAAAGTCCATGGAAGCTTATGTTGATGACATGCTAATTAAGATCCCAGGAGCCACCAACCACCCGACAGATATGAGGTGATGTTTCGAGATCATGGGCAAATACAATCTACACCTGAACCCCAAGAAAGGTATCTTCGCTGTAAAGACCGACAAGTTCTTGGGATTCATGGTCACAAAGCGAAGGATAGAGCCCAATCCTAAGAAGATCAAGGCGATCACGGAGATGCGATCACTGGGTTCGTTGAAAAATGTCCAACAACTAACCGGGCGGCTGGCAGCATTGAGTAGGTTCTTATCCCGATCAGCTGAAAAGGGCTCTGCCTTTCTTCAAGGTCCTGAAGAAGGCAACCACGTTCAAATATGACCACGAATGCAAGGAAGCTTTCCAGCAGCTGAAGGAATATTTATGCTCTGTTCCGTTCAACTTATTTTTTTGATCTAATCTGATTTTTTGTAGTTTTGATCTGATCTTATTGGATCTGATCTGATCTGGTCTGATCTGATTGGATCTGATCTGATTGAAATTAATCTAATCCAATCTAATTGATCTAATTAATAATTTGATTTAAAATTCAAATCAATAAGTTGATCTGACTTTATAATAACTTTTGAAAATTGTAATGATAATTCATATTATAATATAATCAGTATTTTTTATATTATGATTATTTTTTAATGAAATAAAATAAGTTAATTCATATATTAGAATAATCATTCATATTATAATGTAATAATATTTTTATTTTATGATTATTTTTTTATGAAATAAGAATATTGATTTAATATTTTAATAATTAGTTCATAAATACATTAGAATAAATATTTAATTCATATATACATTAAAAAGTAATTAAATTTAGATAATCAATATAGAGAAGAGATAGTATTTTTATTAAAATATCTCATCCTTGTAAAAATAAATTTTAAGCAAAGAAATAATACATTAGATTGACATTGTCAATGTATTTTAAAAATAATTTTTCCGACATCTAATAATTAAAGATTACTTACTCAATTTTCTATTTAACTTGTTTCTTAACTTTATTCTTTTTCATTTTTAAGAAAAAATTGTGTGCTTAATATATCATTTTATTTTTCTCTATATAAATTATAATAGCACAAAAGTTTTATTTTCTTTCTTATTATATATATTTTTTCAAGAGAAGTTAAATTTATTTTTTGGAAGAATCGTATCAAGTAAAACAAGTAAAAAGTATGGAATTTAAAAAGTATGGAGAAAGAACGATAATGATAATGATGATAATAGTAATAATAATTCATAAGAACAACAACAACACTAATAATAATAATAATAATAATAATTCTTGATTTGATCCAATCTGATCTGGTTTGATTTGATTGGACACACGTGGACACTTCGTGATTAACGAAGTGTTGTTGTGTGATCCAAGGAGAATGCATGCACCCCGTTGAGACCGAAGAGTCACTTGTGACTCTTCAGTATATCCGTCCCGTTCATCCGAAGAGCCAAACCTCCTCTTATTTAAGGAGAGGTTGGTTGAGAGACAAACATATATCTCAGAATTACGAAGTACTTTCCGACTCTCTCCCCGTTTCCGATCATCTTATCCGGCAATAACTTATTGTCGTTCTCGTTCACCAGTGCACTGTTCTACCTCTCTAGACCTTGCACGTTGCGGTTTTATCATGGGAGGAGATTGCCCACGTTTGCCAAGTGCGGGAGGCGGGCAGTATATACTACCTTAAGGAAAGCTCTGGCGACTCTGCTTTTCTAATTTCTCGTTCGAAGTACTGTTCCGGCTCGCCCCTACTATTCGTCTGACATCTCTGATCGCCCATCAAGGATATTTTTCCTTTCCCCTTTTTCGCAATCTTTTGTAATTCCCAACAATAACTAGGAAGATTTTATTTCGTACACAAAGCCCACTAATTACAAGCAAATGTATCTCTTGAAATGAGAAGAGAAATGGGAGGCCATGATTAAAGCCAATGTTAAAAAGCTATTAAGGCAACATGATTAAGGCTCCGTTTCGTTCAACTTATTTTTTCTGATCTAATCTGATTTAAATAAGTTTTGATCTTGTAACACCCCAACCCGCGTGACCCGAATACAAGGACCAGCGGATCGGGTTGCTACTAAATTTGTATTCAGACACAATAATTTTCAACACAATTTAAAACATTTAATTCAAAACAATATTTAAATATCCATCAGAGTAAATCAAAATGGTGCAGAAGCCTTTAAGTACTTAATCAAAATACAACTTTGGGTTCTTGCCCTTAAGAATATAATAATCCAAACTTAAATATTAAATTAGATAACTCCTCTAGCTAGCATCCATCCATCTCTTCGCCCTCGCTGCCTCCAAGACCCCTCATTATTCATCGTTCATGTTACCTACGTGTAGCAAATAGGAAAAAGGGCTACACGCTCAGCATTGAAGCTGAGTGGAACTATCTAACGTTCAACTACGCATATAGACGAACCCACTAGCTCTTAACTCCATACAATATCATGCACACAAGTATACAATATAATAGAACATAACAGTCACCAAATAAATTCACAAGTCACCAATCATTACCTTATTTCCTCTTTATTCATAGCTCATAACACAATTACCAGACTAAGTTTATACTTCCATATTTACAATCTGATGTTCGGACTTAGAGTCACTACCTACGGCCATGACTCAAGTCTACCTTATTTAATACCTGATGACACAACACGACCTGATGACCAACGAAGGAGTTCTCCGCAGGGTGGTGGTACCCCTGTCCCCTTCGGAACGACAGTTCTTGGATCCCGTACGTACGTTTTAACCCGCATCCGCCAGATATCAGATCCGCATGGCTGATCCTATTTATTGACATTTATACTTACAATTGTACTAAGGCAGTCCTAGAGTTCCCCTAGGTAGCATAATCATTTATTTATAACACCTCTATAGTTCAGACTTATTCCAACATTAGTCTCAGTTCCTTGTGTACTTTCATAACACCACATGATTATATTTAATTATAATAGAAAGGTTGCAATAATCAGGTAATCAATCAAGCAACTCATTTAGCGGCCTAGTGTCAGGTGTAAACACCTTCCACTTACCGTCATGCAACACACAAACATCGGGAACAATCTGGAATTCGAATCAGAACAAACAGATGAAGAATCGATTGAACAGTCTCTTGGTCCGGTACCCCTTACGGTACCTCGGTACCGCCAGGCGGTACCTTGGTACCGTCGGTCCGGTACCCCCGTACCGTGCGGCGCAGGTACTGGCGGTGGCAACCTTCAGTGGCGGTAGCACGGTACCGCTAGGCGGTACCTAGCTACCGTCTGACGTCGGGAAGTCACCGGAACGACAGATTTCGATCCAATTCCAAACCATACAATATGTACAACGTTTATAAAGATTATTATCATGCAAACCTACACAATTTAGAGTAAGAATACATACCTGGTCATCCTCGTTCAACCAATTCCAATATTATCATAAGATATAAATAAATCACAATTCAATTGTAAACAAATAAACCACGTAATCAATCATACGAAACTACGAACGTGAATTTCAAATCTATATACATAATCTAGCGTTAGATGTGCAAGTTCTGACCTCAATTAATTGGCGGGTTAAAACAAATCAAATAAATCAACAACGGAAGAAGATGGCGGCGGCGAACCGGCGTCACAGCAGCGGCGATGCGGC